CACCCACCACTGCTCGCGATCGTTACGTAGGCTTTTCATAAGTCTGCGCCTAAGTTGACTTCGTTCTTCATCATGCTCAGAGCCAGGTGGGATGAGTTTTCGGGCATCCATCAGATCGGTGGATGCTACTGAGATCCACGGTTTCATTCTAGCCTTATGGTCAACCTTACTAGCAGATATCACTGCTGTTTCCACAGCCTTTTTGATATCATTCCATCCTGCTTCCGGATGGGAATCGCTTAAATGGTCGCCTAACTGTCTTTCTAGTTGTTCCTGAAATATATTTTTCGCCTTATTATCATTAAGCAAAACCCTAAGAGGCTTTCTTACGGTGTCTTTCCTACGTCCAGTAAGCTTCAAACAAATACGCGCTCGCACTAGGGCATGATCTGAATCCAAACATGTGCCCCAGAACGAGCGACAGTCCTCTATCGAACCCCTCCATCGGTGGCTGATGGCGATGTGATCTAGTTGAGTCCAACGTTGAGACGACTTTGGAGGTCGCCAGGTCAACAGGTGCTTTTCCTTATGCCTAAAGTTAGTGTTTGCTAAGAATAGGCGGTTGTCTGAGCATGTTTGCAACAGACGGTCACCATTGTCTGTTCTCTGAGCCGCGACACCATAACATCCACCTAGGTGTCTCTCCTGCTCACTTAGTCTACCTACTTGAGCATTAAAGTCACCAGCCATTATTACTATATCAGAGCGCCTAGCTTTTTGGAGGAGGTCCGAAAGCTTTCTGTAAAACTCATCCTTAACCTCGTCTGAACTGCATTCAGTGGGGGCATAGGCAGATACGATGAAGAGGCAACGGCGATTGTCCCTATCTTTCCGAGTCCTTACTGTCCCGTTTAGTCGGACAGCGCACAATCGACTATCTATTGGGATCCAGTCAAGGAGAGATTGTTCTGCCCTACGACTCAATGCTATGCCTACGCCAGCAAGACCCCGGGAAGCAGCATCAGGGCTACCGGATACACGAAGAGTAAATCGAGCTGCTTCTTTATTTTGACATGGTGTGGTCAAGTGTATGACGTGACTCGGATCCTGTATGCGCGTTTCCGAGACGCAGCATACATCGATGGCACGAGATTCTAAAGTCATAGCTAAGGAAGCCTGTTGCCCTATTTGACACAATGTCCGTACATTAAATGCTCCAACATGTAGTCTAGAGCGAGGTTTAAGGAGACCAGGAACGACCTTTCGCGAACTCGTATCGTCTGCATTAGCTGTGCAATGTGATGAATGAATGTAAGAAGAGTTAGTCGTGGAGATAAGAGAGACATTAGGGGGTGTAGGAAGGATTTGATTTTGACCAATTTGGTCTCGCGTGCTGTTATGGGTATGAGGGCGGTTGTCACTTCCCGGCTGCCCACACCGTGGAAGGTTGTTTCTTGAGGAACCTGAAAAGGAAAATAGATTAGTGTTGGTGCGTGACCGCAGAGTCCAAGGGACAACTGCTTGAGGCCGGTCACGCACGGCCTTTTTATGAAAGGTATTTAGAGGATTAGCTCCGTTCTTAAAGGCCCTTAGTGGGCACCCTTACCCAAGGAGACGGAAATCCGTGAGTTAGGGGAGGTGTGACATTTTTAGGGCCGACCTTTTCTAACCCTTCCTTCCTTGTGAGAAGGCAGCATCGCTGCAGATGCTGGTTGTCCAAGGGAAACACCTTACTGCTGTCACACCCCTCTGCAGTCAGCAGTACGACTTCGCCCTCAGACCTTGGGTAGCTGCTTTTAGTCTCATCGTTCTCCAATCGACCTGTCTGGCATGGTAGGACCTGCAGGAACATATGTTCCAGCCAGTATAGCTCGGTTGGATCATCACGATAGGCAAGCCCGACCACCACGTCAAGGTAGCAGCCACGGTCGGGTTGTTGGGGTCCACGATATGATAATCGATGGTTAGAGATCCTGAGTGATATGGCTGAAAATCGTTTACAATGGCGCAGGTGCATTTTCTCTTTGTGTTCTATGGAATTCTAACCTTCTGAATTCCTCATCACCTTTATCTTTCTGTTTCTAAATTTACCTCACTGAATTATACTTCTTGAATAACATCTTCGAACCCGTAATCTCTCCGATTACTTCTAATACTTTTACTATCTCTACTACAATGGGATTTGAAATGACAATTATATCTCTGTGCAACTTGAATTGATGTATTTACGTGCAAAGTTCTACGTTACTGTTGATAGTGAAATAGTTTATCCAATCATAGTTAGATGTTGATTTTAGTAATATATTAGACAACATGAATCGATTGAGATGTGAAACATGTGAAAACTAAGTAAGTGTACGTGTGCATGTGTTACGTGTGAATTTATGTTATTACTAGTGTTAATATTCAGTGTACAACTGTCAATCATTTATTTATTAAATGTAAACTTCAAAAGTGCAATGCAAACAGTCAATAATTAATGTAAAACTTGGTACATATGTATATCAGTTTGAAGTTGCCATATTGCATTACAGAAAAAAGTCCATTTGTGAATGCTTTTTAAAAGTCAAGCCCCGTTTAAATTGTCATACTACACTAGTACCGAGTGATAGAATTATCGATTCCAATCCTATCGTAGTATAGATTGTAGCAGTAATAGGTAAGATTACGGATGGAAAATATAATTCAAAAAGTATATCCCGGTTAAATAAATGTAAAAATAGAAATAAGGTCATGAAGAATTCAGAAGACGCACCTGCGTCATGTCCTCTTTCAAAGTCACCAACTACCGCCGATTACGATTGTGTCGCATACCCTGGCCAGGTAGTCTATACGTACTAACATGACTCAGTCCACTTGTCAGTGACTTCATGGATTTGTGTCATGTTTTTGGTCTAGTCGCCCCTAGCTTTCTTCCAGCCTACTCCTATATCAGACAACATCGCTCGACGAGATAACTGGCGGTTAAGCATACGTAATACATGTCCAAGGCATCTTAACTAATGAAAATTCACCAATTCATTAATTGACTTGCCATCCTTACCTAGTACTACCCTTGTACTAACAACTGCATTGCGTACTCGGTGGTCCCAGGATATACAAACAACGGTTCTAAGACACTTATGTTTGAATGACTAATAACTTACGATTATCCTCTACTCTTACAGGCCATGTTTCATACCGTATAAAACAGAACGAAGCAAAACTGTTGCAACAATCTAACTTCATTGGATAATTTAACTCGAATACTAAATGATTTTTATCTTCTATTTTATAATTTAAATTCATCGAAATAAAGTATGATATCAATTAGAGTTCAATTGTAATTGTAATATCAGAATCTAAATAATGAGGCTGTTTTTGCGATAATTTATTAACTGATCATTTTTTTAAAATCAGTCAGTCAGTCAGTTACAACGTAGAACTTCGTACGTATGTACATCAGTTCATGTTGTCATACCACGTCAGCACAGAGAAGTAACTGTCAAATGTCAAATCAAATCCCATCGTGATAAAGATAGTAGAGGTATTAATGGTAATGAAGATTAGGGAACGAAGATATGATTCAAGAAGTATCATTCAGTGAGATAAATTTAGAAGGAGAAAGATAGAGGTGATGAAGAAGTCAGAAAGTTAGAGTTTGAGAGAACACAAATAATGGATGCATCTGCGCTATTGCAAACGATTTCGAGCCATGTCGTTCAAGATCTCTAACCATTGGTGACTTTCGTCTCACGGACTCCAACCAAGTAGCCTACATCTACCAACATGACTCAGTCCACTTGTCAGTGACTTCATGGATTTCTGCCATGTTTTGGTCTGGTCGCCCCTAGCTTTCTTCCAACCTACTCCTACACCACAAAACATAGCTCGACGAGACAGTCGATGGTTAGGCATACGTAACACATGTCCTAACCACCTCAACTGATGAAGTTTCACCACTTAATCTATTGATCTGCCATCCTTACCTAGTACTCGTTTCCTAACGACAGCATTGTTTACTCGGTTGTCCCACGATACACAACCAATGCTTCTCAGATATCTATGATATCCGCTTGTTAACCAAAGGACGAGTGTACTGCGCAGCAATTCGCTGCGTCCTACTATATGGATGCGTGGCCGCTGAGAGTAGAGGACATTCGTAGATTGCTTGTCTTCGATCATAGATGTCTGGTCGCGCTCCTAGCTTTCTTCCAACCTACTTACTATTTTATATTATTATCTATATATAAAATTACAATTTAGTCAATAATTAAATACTTTTATGAATTTTGATAGAACAGTGAGAAGATGTAATTGATCTGAAAAATGTTGTGATGTATTTGCGCGCTATACATTTCGAACAATCTGGTCACACATATTTACTTGTCAAGGCATTTTATATGAAGATGAATAAAAGGTCAATTAAATAAAAGTTCAAATAGTGGACATAAGGTGATGATTGTAAATAAAGGAGAGAGAATATTAACGTAATATGAAAACAATAAGAAGGGGTAGGAAAATTGTCACATTACCCTAGGCTTAAAGATTACCAAGGTAAATTCAAGGTTATGACAAATTGTTTCTGCACACATAAGGGGAGTTTTAATTTTCGAATAGCCAAGGATTCCATAAACCTCAAAATTTGTCCTTCAAGATTTCTATACAATATTTTGAAGGCTGTCTTGATGTCAGTCAATCTTAATTGTGCCCTGTCTCAATTATGTGTTTTGCTATCGATGAACATGGTTTTCTATTTCTCACTCTAATATGCTCATCTGACGTTAACTGATTTTGAAGCCACTTGGGTTCATGTTCCATAACCCTTGATAGCAAAGTCCGATTACTCCTCCCTACTATGTATGCGTGTCCACACAAACATGTAAATTGATGAATGCAATGGGATGTGATGTAATCATTTGAGCAACATCTAGGCCTATATGGAATCATGGACTTGGTCTTTTCAATGATAATCAGTTTATCAGCGTTGTATGTATTTCTCTATGGCTGCTACTTTTAGTCTCTCTGTCTTATTATTTAACGATTACTTACAATACTTTTATCAATGTTTGTTTTTTTAGTTTAGATTCAGTGTATAATGAACATTTATTAACTATTAGTCAATTACAAGATGAAATCAAATCATTGAAACGTCAGCTAACACTGAAAGATGCAGATCTTTTAACTAAAGATCGTACCATTGCAGAATTACGCTCGGATATGATTGATATTAAAAATATGAATGAAGATCGTATTCAAAAAATTAAATCTGCTGCTCAACTTGAACAAGATCGATTATTGGTAAGTATTACTTCTTATTTCAGAATGCCTATCGACAACTCTTTATTTACCCGAAAATGGTTGGGACACGTGTTGCGTATGCCTAACCACCGACTGCCTCGTCGAGCTTTGCTTTGTAGTGTAGGAATAGGTTGGAAGAAAGCTAGGGGAGGCCAGACCAAAACATGGCAGAAATCCATGAAGTCATTGACGAGTGGACGTAGCCATGTCGGTAATTGTCGACTACCTGGTTGGGGTCCACGAGATGATAATAATCGATGGCTAGAGACCTTGAATGACATGGCTTAAAACCGTTCGCAATGGCGCCAGTGCATTTATTCTTTATGTTCTCTCAAATGCTAATCTTCTGGGTTCTTCAACACCTCTAGTTTTTACCTTCTAAACTTATCTCATTGAATCATTTTTCGTGAATAATATCTTCTAATTCTAACCTCTCCGATTACTTCTAATACCTTTACTACCTCTTCTACTATTGGATTTGAATTGACAATTACATCTCTCTGTGCTGATGTGGTATGGCAACATGAACTGATGTACTTACGTACGAAGTTCTACGTTGCAACTGACTGACTGACTGACTGATCCGAAAATGTAGAAGAAGTTTGACTTTGATTGAACGCGGATTTCTTTACATAAAATATAATATGCTGTATCAAATTGTAAAGGATTTCTTCTAATGTCTGTTACGCCTGCACGTAAATATGTCAACTTGATATAATTGAACTATTATTATGAGTTTACCTAGTCGGAAAACGAGAGCGAAGATCGAGATCGATCGTGACACGACATACTACTCAAATCTAATTATCCTAGCCCCCTCCCCATAATAAGTAAAAATAAGAAGACTTGATATCAAGTAGAACTTGTATTCTACAAGCATCCAGAAAGTACGAAGTCCGAATCTAGAAGAGAATCAGGATCCCGGACTAGAGATCTGGGACCGGGTCCTGGTCATGGTCATAAACCGTTACACACAGTGCGCATTTGTACATTTTGGTCGAATAGGAAACAGCATCGAATTCGTGTGACATTGGTAGTTAAGACGACCAATAGGAAGCAACATTTAAAGTGACATTGATAGTCAGGATGACAAATAAGAAACAACATTGGAGCACGTGACATTGATATCTAGGACGACCATAAAATTGACCAATAGGAATTAACCAATAATTCTCGTAGGATAATTGGATGAATATCCTAACAATCTCGTCTCTCTCTCTCTCTCTGTGTCTCTTTCTTTTTGTAGGCTACAATACGTCAATTACAAAAAGAGAAAGCAATGATTAGTCAAGATATGAAACGTCGTCGAAGTAATAACAATCTCACGAAACTTGCCAATCGACATTCTTTATCTTCAACAACTCTATTCAGTCCAGATTCACCGCTTAGTGTAAGTGGTACAAAACGACCAGTAGTGAATAAGACTTCAACAACACGTGAAAGTCAAGTTAATGAACGTGCAGGTGAAGAAACATTGTCCAACACAAATTCTACATCAAATTCAACAAATCGTTCAGTAAAAAAACAACTTACTCCTAACAGCAGTGTACAAAATTCCGATGACGATTCTAATTTAACACCACAACGTACAGTAACCGCTAGTGTGATGAAGCAGAGCAACAACAGTAACACCAACACAAGTTCACCAGATATTACTCCAAGTATATCATCTGGACCACTGACAGACAATGATGATGCGGAGGAGGAGGAGGAGGAGGATGACGGAGAACAAACTCGTTCTCAACCATACCACTATAATCCACAAGAATTTGCTGGTAAAGATCCACTTGGATTAGATACACCATCAGAATCGGAAAATGAAACACCGGACTGAGGACTGGTTTTTTCATGAAACTAACTATCCCATGCTCTGACCCCCCCCCCGCGCTCCCACTTACCTACATAAAAAGGAAATAAATATATATACAAGTACTCACTTTTTCTATGTTTGTTTGTTCGTTTGTAATCATTGCATTTTAATAAATGGTGTTCAGACTTTCAAGTTCACAATAGTGGTAGTAGTAGTAGGCTCCTGCCTGTTGTTTTGTGTCACACCCCGATTGTCCATTGTCCATTCATTGACTTGTTCCAATCATTCATTCATATATGCAGCTTTTCGTTTTTTACTTAGTGTATGTATAATATTTCTTATGTTCATTCAAAAGGCGGCTAGATCCCTAACTGTATCTTGAACATTGAGTATTCTGTGTACACTTGTACATTATTTTTTGTTAAATATATATACATATTTATTATAATAATTATTATGTAACTTTTATATTTCATAAACGATTCAGAAAAAAAAACTATTTCATTATATATTTTCTATGAATAAATATATTAATAATAATAATAAGTATTATTATTATTATTATTCTTATTATTGTTGTTTCTTGTTTGATTGTTATTTTTTTGTTAAATTTTTGTTTTTTTTACAAAATTAACCTTATGCCACAATGTTTTTTTCATGTGTTGTTTGTTAAAAAATTTTATTGCCTATTGTTATTTGTTTTTGCATTTTCTTTTTCTGTCTTTAATTAAATTTGGCATTTCCTATGAATGGAATTTGTATTATGTCACATCATATTGTCATTTGCGGTTTGTTTACATTGTCAATTCATAGTTTCCCTTCTTTTTTCTATGGTTTTTTTGAGGTTTTTTATCTATACTACTTATTATTATTATTCAGTAATATGTTTATATTTCTGATCATTTTTGAACCTATAAAAAATGACGTCTATCTGTTATGTAATGTAATCATTCTTGAGTATTTAATTTATATTGTACTTATTTGTGTGATTGTATTCTATTCAGACGTGTAACAGATACTTTCAGTTTCAACTGAAAAAAAAAACACTTTCCATATCCTTCTTCTATTGTTCTGTATTCTTGTCATCCTAACAACATTGTGTTTGCCATTGTCATTTCTATAGCTATAATCTATCACATCACATTATCTTATCGTAAATTATTATCAATAGCTCTGTAAATTTACATTTGAGAAGTAATTTTTTTTCTTTCATTGCATAAAGACTTGATGAGTTGAGTGGTTTATTTTGTAATGTATTTCATATTATTTCGTTATTATAGCAGCTAACTACTCGTTTTGTTATAGATTAATCTTACGTGTTTTGATTTACTGAATCTAAGTGCGTTTCTCGATTGTGTGGTTGAAGCTTTAATAAGGAATTAGATAATGGTTTTCACTGTCTCCTTGTATTTAGTATTACTCATTTTTATTATTTATTAACACTGCTGAGGAGTCCCATACTAGGACGAAACGGCCGTCCAGTGCTTCCAGGTTTCTAATGATGGTCTAAAATTGATTGATTCATGGTTTCAAAAAAAACTTGACAGTCTTCACAACCCCGTAATGGATATTAACACTATGGTTAATATCATCGTCGTCATTATTTTTGTTATCAGATGATAGACATGATCAGGATAAATATCGGGATAAATAGAAGTTGCAAACGATTTCGAGCTATGTCATTCAAGGTCTCCTCTAACCATCGATTACTATCGTCTACGCCTACTAACATGTTTAAATTCACTTGTCAGTGACTTCATGGATTTGTGCCATGTTTTGGTCTGGCCACTCCTAGCTTTCTTCCAACCTACCCTTACATCACAAAACATCGCTCGTCGAGGGAGTCGACTGTTGTGTATATGTAACACATGTCCCAACCATTTTAACTGATAAAGGTTCACTACTTCATTAATGCATTTGACATCCTTACCCAGTACCAACTTCTTAACCCCGAATAATCGCTTATTCACTTGTCCCAAGATATACGAGCAATGCTTCGAAAACACCTATGATCGAATGCCAGTAACTTAAGAATATCCTCGCTTCTTACTGGCCATGTTTCTAACTCGTAGAGCCGAGGAAAGCGAACTGATACACAGTAGACTCATCCTTCGATTAACAGACGAGTATCTCTTCTGTACCCTAAGTGACGCCTATTGGCTAAAGTTCGTCGAGCCTTCTGTGTCCATGCTGAGATCTCGTCACACATCAGACCATCAGCACTGATGAGACACGCGAGATAATTGAAGAGGTCAACACGCTCAACTACTTAACTCCTTCTCACTAGTTCAGGCGCTGATGCAAGCCACTTCCGAAGCATCATTTTGCATTTCCAGAGGATAATCGCATCCTGAAAATACTTGCATTGTTGCTCAGGATGGTCACAAGATAGTATTTTGTCAGCGTATTCACCAAACAGAGCTATGTCATCGGCGTATTCTAAGTCAGCAAGCGTGTCTCCTGGTAAAAGGTGCACTCCTGAAAAGACAGACGATGATAATTTTAACTCTGAAAGCATATCTACTACAAAGGTAAACAAGAATGGAGAGAGTGGACAGCCCTGACGGACACCACTTGAAGTAGAGAATTCCGATGACAGTTCGCCATAAGCTCTCACTCAACCAGTGGTGTTCGAGTAGAGAGCTTGTATGAGGTTAATGTACTTCTTTGGCACACCTTTCAATGACAGACACTGCCACAGAACCTCACGATCCACAGAGTCAATGCCGCCTTAAGGTCCAGGAAGACAACTATTGTCGGACGCCTAAATGTGTGTCTGTGTTCCAGGACCTGGCTTAGTGTGAAAACGTGGTCTACACAGCCACGTCCACATCTGAAACCAGCCTGGTTTTCTCCAGTTAGGCGTCTAAGTATTACCGAGGCTAACAATTTAGAAACTATATTAGTTAGACTGATTCCCCTGTGATTGTCACAAGAAGACTTTTGTCCTTTCTTATAAATTGGGACAATCAGGGATTGAGACCAGTCAGACAGGATTACATCCCGTTCCCAGCTTCTACCTAAGATCTCAATCAATCTAACTGTTAAAACTGAACAACCATCCTTAAAATTCTCAGTATTTGATCCATCTGCGCCTACTGCTCTCCCTTGTTTTAAACTTTCTATAACTTATTCAACTTTATAAATAGTCGGAAGATTTACTTACATCAACTTGCCATTCAAGTTGACTGGAGATTATGGTTAACCGAAGTATGGCTAAATACCAGTTGAACTGTTCCTCAAAAGTCTGTTCTATCCATCGAAAATCAATCTCCTAGATTGATTGATTGATTGAATCGTATGTCCATCTTTTTCGATGAAAGTCACCACCATGTGAGCTCTACTATAAATCGTTCATATCTATCAAATTGATAAGATGATACAAATTATGTCAATTAAACACATAAATTTTTGGTTTGACTATATTTTGTACTATAAGTGTATGTGTTTTGTCTGATCAATTGTTACGAAAATCGAATTGAATAACAAGATTGATGTAGTAGTAGTAGTAGTAGTAGTAGTAGTAGTAGACCAGGTATGATATGTATGATATGATATGATATTCATCAACAGGGCACTATTTGACTGTGTAATGCAACAATTCAAAAAAGGATACATTATTGAAATGTAAACAATGAATGATTGTTGACAATAGTGAAATTAGTCAAATAGAATATAGTTGGACCAAACTATGTTATTATTATTATGATTATTACAGTTGATCATTGTATGATTGGTGATATTTATATTTTGTACAGTATTTCTGTGTGTGTGTGTGTGCGTGCGCGCGTATATATATATATGACTTCAACCTTCTAAATTATACTATGATAACTCGTGAACAGTTGAACCAATTTTCATCATCAGATATACAATACACAACTACTTTTCAACGGCTCTCTAATTGGTAAGTCATCTTCTATCTAACTGACTACTTATTGATTGAGTTCAATTGAATATTTATCTAAATTAAACTCAACCAACCAACCCAACCAATCGTAGCTACATAATATCTTTATCAGTTTGCGCCTTCTTAGAGTTAAGGATTTAAATTGAGAAAATTTTTATTCCTTGTTTCATATAACTACTAAAACAACGCACTCTTGATTTTTGAATTTTGTGCCAAATGGAATCTCACGTCACCGGTGTATGCTTCACCTTTGAAACGTGCATTTAGGATTCAAGTATAGAATAAGTATAGACTTTGTCGAAGTAAAGAGCCGACCCGATTTAACTTTTGTATTCCTAAAGACCGTACTGCTATTACCGAGGGCCTCGTTAGCATTAAGTTCAAAAGCAGAACCGGCTCTTCTAAACTGGATTCCATTAGACAGTTGCCTGTGCGCTATCCGACTAGACAGGAAGGAGAATAAGAACTCAGGTTAACAGTACAAATGCTGTCGCCTATTCTCTGTGGTGGTGTTTCGTCCTCTGAGTTGGAGAACGAAACACTACCACGATCATCCACCTGAGCTACAAATTTTCTCCGCCATCTGTTATTCGTTGTCTTTGCACTGAGTGCATGATGAAGAGTGGAGATAGTTTAATCGCAGACTAATAAGAAGCCTTTGCAATGATCGCAAACAGTGGCGTATAGAGAAACCAAGAGAGATAGAAAAGGCAGCAGGCTTATCATAGAAACTGGTATTAAGAATCCAACTGTTAGCGAGAATCTGGAGAAAAGAAGGAACTATTATGTATTCTAAATCCAGGAGATTGGACCGATGGACAGAACACGTTTGGGTAACAGTTCAACTGACCATCAGCTGCACTTCAGTTACCCACCACCTCTGAACAATTTCAATGGTGAACTGATATCCATCCTCAAACGTTTAATATAGTTGAAAACGCTTTAAGCAATTTAGCGTGACGGAGTGTGGCAGAATGTGATGGATAAACTCCTGAGAATTTTAAGAATGGTGGTCCAGTTTTAGAAGTTAGATTGACTGAGATCTTAAGTAGAATCTGAGAACTGGACGCAATTCCATCCGACTAATCTCAATCGCTGGTTGTCACAATCTATAAGAAAAGACCAAAGTCCTATTGTGAAAAACACGGAGGAATCAGTTTCACCAATATAGTGTCTAAAATATTAGCTTACATCAAACTTCGACACCTAACTAGAGCTCATGAAGAGCAGATTCGAGAAAACTAGGCTGGTTTCAGACTTGGACGTGAATGGATGGACCTCATATTCACACTTACTTAGATGCAAGAACACAGACACAGATTCAGACGTCCAACAAAAAATATATTTCTCGACCCTAAGATCACGAGGTTTTGCGGTAGTGTCTGTCATTAAAATGTGTACCAAAATAGTACATTAACCCTATACAGGCTGTTTACTCGAACACCACTGATCGAATTAAAGCTTATGACTACTAACTGTCATCAAGACTGATCGCCTTGAGTGGTGTTCATCAGGGTTGTACACTATCTCCATTCCTATTCAACTTTGTGATCGACATACTTTTAGAGATAGAAAAATATTGGCCGCAATAATAACTCCAACGCCTAACGAAAGCTGTTGAAGAGCAGACTAGAGAAAACTAAGTTGGTTTCAGACCTGGATGTAGATGTATATACCACATATTCACACTTCGTTTAAGCCTAGCTAGCTATTAGCAGGTCAAACGGTTTGGAAAACTAAACACTAGTATAATGTCTATTAGGATTATAGAGATTACATAATAGAAAGTGTTCAGATAACAACTGTACAGTGAGGCACATAACTGAAAAAAAGGGCGAGGATGGGGGAAAAATAAACAAATAGGCAAGGAGTATAAAAAATTAATGATAAGTAAGTAAGACTAATTTGGCTGATGACGATATATGTTTTCCTCCGGACGAAATACTCAAAACTAACATCAAGACTGTAGAAAAAAATTTCCAGAGTCAGAACAAGTAAGTGATATGACTTGATAAACTTTATCTGTTGCAAACAGTTAAACTAGCATACAAAATAAAAACAACAGAAATTACTACAATCTGTTAGAGAGGAAATAGAGAAACATAAAAGAAACCCTACAGAACAGTAACTGGAGTACAATGGATTTAATATCGTTTATCAGTCAGTCAGTCAGTCAGTCAGTTGCAATGTAGAACTTCGTACGTATGTATGTACATAAGTTCAGGTTGCCATACCACATTAACACAGAGACGACCGTAGCTGCTACCTTGACGTGGTGGTCGGGATTGACTATCGTGATGACCCAACCGAGCTGTAATGGCTGGAACATATGTTCCTGAAGGTCCTAACATGGCACGCAGGTTGATCGGAGAACGATGAGACTAAAAGCAGTTACTCAAGGTCTGAGGGCGAAGTCGTACTGCTGACTGCACAGGGGTGTGACAGCAGTAAAGTGTTTCCCTCGAACAACCAGCATCTGCAGCGATGCTGCCTTCTCACAAGGAAGGAAGGGTTAGAAAAGGTCGACCATAAAAATGTCACAACTCACCCTACCTCACGGATTTCCGTCTCCGGCGGTAAGGGTGCCCACTAAGGGCTTTTAAGAGAGGAGCTAATACTCAACAAACCTTTAGTAAAAAGGCCGTGCGTGACCGGCCTCAAGCAGTTGTCTCTTGGGCTCTGCGGTCACGCACCCAGGTCTCTAAGACCAACACTAATCTACCTTCCTTTTCAGCTCCCCCAAGAAACAACCTTCCATGGTTTGGGCAGCCTGGAAGTGACAACCGCCCTCATACCCGTAACAACACGCGAGACCGAATTGGTCAAAATCAAATCCTTCTTACACCCCCTATTATCTCTCATATCGTTTATAAAGAGATGGAATACTATGATTGTTGAATAAACAAGACATACAGTTATACAAGATGAAAGAGCAGAGTCAACGTATTGGTTAGTCAGTCAGTTACAAAAAGTAGAACTTCATACGTACGTACATAATTTCAGATTACCATTCCACATTAGCACAGAGACGCAAGATAAGAGAATTATTAGGATATGTATGAAGGAACTGATTTTGACCGGTTCGGTTTCACGTGCTTTTACGGGTATGAGTGGGGTTGTAACTTCCTGGCAGCCCTCACCTTGGAAAGGTACTAATTCCTGAGGAACCTGAGAAGGAAATCGGGTTAACGTTGGTCCTAATGATCTGGGAGCGTTACTGCACAGTCCATGGGACAACTGCTTGAGGCCAGTCACACACACTACCTTTTTATGAGAGGTTTTAAGAGTATTAGCTCCGCTCTTCTTTAAAAGCCCTTACCCCCGGAGATGGAAATCCGTGAGATAAATGGAAGTGTCATATTTTTAGGGTCAACCTTTCCTAACTCCTTCCTTCCTTGTCAGGAGGCAGCATAGTTGCAGACGCTGGTTGTTCGAAGGAAACACCCTACTGTTGTCACAGCTCTCTACAGTCGATAGTACAACTTCACCCTCATACCTCAAATCGATCTGCCTGACGTTGTAGAACCTACAGGAACATATGTTTTCACCGAATAAAGCTTGGTTCAGTCATTACGTTAGGCAAGCCTGACCATCACGTCAAGGTAGGCAGCTACGGTGTTGTTAGGCATTTAGTGCTATAATTGGTAGGTTTATTCATCGATCTACTTGACCTTACAAAACCTCCTAACCATAAAAGGGCGGTATTCCTAAATCGTTGGCTCATTTGAGACTGTCAGTCAAATGCAACGTAGAACTTCGTACGTAAGTACATCAGTTCATGTTGCCATACCACATCAGCACAGAGATGTAATTGTGAATTCAAATCCAATAGTAGAAGAGTGAGTAAGGGTATTAGAAGTAATCGGAGAGGTTAGGATGAGAAGATATTATCCAAGAAGTATGATTCAGTGAGAAAAGTTTAGAAAGTCAAAAAAACTAGAGGTGTTGAAGAATCCAGAAGATTAGGATTTGAGAGAACACAAAGAGTAAATGCACCGGCACCATTGCAAACGGTTTTGACCCATGTCATTCAAGGTCTCTAACCATCGATTATTATCATCTCGTGGACCCCAACCAGGTAGTCGACAACTACCGACATGACTCAGTCCATTTGTCAATGACTTCATGGATTTGTGCCATGTTTTGGTTTGGCCACCCCTAGTTTTCTTCCAACCTATTCCTACACTACAAAGCACAGCTCGACGAGGCAGTCGGTGGTTAGGCATGCGTAACAAATGTCCCAACCACCTCAACTGATGAAGTTTCACTACTTCATCTATTGATCTGCCAGTCTTACTTAGCACCCGTTTCCTAATAACAGCGTTGCTCACTCGGGTATCAATCACTCTTGATGGAGATGCCTGGGAGGACGTTAACACCTTTACATATCTTGGCAGTATCATCGACGAGAAAGGTGGATCGGATGCAGATGTGATGGCGCGGATCGACAAAGCAAGGGCTACATTTCTACAATTGAAAAATATATGGAACTCCAAACAACTTTCAACCAAAACCAAAATCAGCATTTTCAATACAAATGTGAAGACAGTTCTACTGTATGGAGTGGAAACTTGCAGAACTACGAAAAGCATTATCCAGAAGATACAAGTATTCAATAACAGTTGTCTACACAAAATACATCGGATTCGTTGGCCAGACACGATGAGTAACAACCTACTGTGGGAGAGAGCAAACCAGATTGCAGTGGAGGAGGAAATCAGGAATAAGCGGTGGAAGTGGATAGGACAGACGCTGCGTAAAGCACCTAACTGCGTCATGAGACAAGCCCTCATATGGAACCCTCAAGGCAAAAAGAAAAGAGGAAGGCCAAGGAACATATTACGCTGAGAAATAGAGAAAGATATGAGAAGAATGAACAAACATTGGACAGAACTGGAGAGGGAAGCCCAGGACAGAGTTGGTTGGAGAAAACTGGTGTGCGGCCTATGCTCCATTTGGGGTAACATGCGAAAGTAAGTAAGTACGTCACTCAGGTGTCCCAAGATATACGAGCACTGGTTGTACATCCAAGAAGCTTTATAGGCTTTTCTTCAGGAGCAGTAATGGATAAAACCAGATCTAACTGAAAACAATAATTGTTCACCAAAAAGATATATATATATATATGCCTATTTGTTCTAATTCATAAATAGAATTTTTTTTAATAAAATAAACATTCATTTCATAGAATTAAATGGTTATTATTGAAAAATTAAAAGAAAATATGAACGCTTCACTGGATGAAACAAGCAATTCGAATCCATCAAACACTCATATTAATTCATCTGGTAAGTTTAATGAAAAATTCAAATAATATTCAATATAACGTTTTAATAATAATAATGTAGTGAAGGAGAACACAGGTGGGGCAACCGAAATGTATTTATCTCAAATTACAGAGTCGCTCAGTAAAATAGGAAAACCATATCGTAAATCGTTCGTTTGCAAAATATCAGTCCGTCATATCGAACTGGACTGTTCCTGTTGCAAACAACATCAATCCATTGTCACTTTTCATGCGTTTCATACAAATCCCATTGTGTTTCCGCTCTTCTTCCTTTCTTGATCTTCCCCCATCTTCTGCTGGCAGACATTACGTTGACACTCGCGTCATATACTACTTATAAGTAGCTCGCACCACAATAATAATAATAATAACAGAGTATCTTGTAAGCTTCATATTGTCTAAAGTTAATAGGAAATAATCAGTCAGTCAGTTACAACGTAGAACTTCGTACATGAGTACATCTCAGTTATGATTGCCATAACCACAACATTAGCACACAGAGATGCAATTGTCAATTGAAATACCACAGTGGTAGAGATATAGTAGAAGTATTAGCAGTAATCCAAGAGATCAGGTTTACAAGAAATTATGCAAGAAATATATTTCATCGAGATACTTTTTAGAAAGAGAAAGATGAAGGTGATGAGAATTCAGAAGATAGTGGATTTGAGAGAACACAAACAGTGAAACTTCATCAATTGAAGTGGCTGGGACATGTGTTACGTATGCCCAAACACCGACTGCCTCGACGAGCTATGTTTTGTGGTGCAGGAGTAGGTTGGAAGAAAGCTAGGGACGGTAGATGTGGGCTACCTGGTTGGGGTCCGCGAGACGAAAGTCACCAATGGTTAGAGACCATGAATGACATGGCTCAGAATCGTTTGCAATGGCGCAGGTGCATCCACTCTTTGTGTTCTCTCTAATTCTAATTTTCTGAATTCCTCATAATTTCTACCTTTCTTCTTCTAGATTTATCTTACTGAATTATACTTCTCGAATCATATTTTCGCTCCCTAATCTTCTCCATTACTGCTAATACTTCTATTATTGCTATCACTGTTGGATTTGAACTGACAGTTGCGTCTCTGTGCTAATGGGGCATGGCAACCTGAACTGATGTACCTAGGTACGAAGTTCTGCGTTGTATCTGTCTGTCTGTCTGTCTGTCTGTCAAAGAGTGGATGTACCAGCGCCATTGCTAATGGTCTTCAGCCATATCATTCAAGATCTCTAACTATTGGAAATAAACAGATTAAACTGAAATGTTGCATAGAAAGAACAGTAAGATTAAAAGCAGCTTTTTTTTAGGTCTGAACGTAGTAAGAACTCCTGGCTCTTCTATCGCACACGCAACAACAAATGCAAGAGAAGACGACCAGTGTACCAGCAGCCTCTGCAGCAGTAGGTCTCAACATACATAAAGGAAAAAGCAAAATTCTCCGATGCAACACAACATGCAACAACCAAATCACGCTTGATGGAGATGCTTTCGAGGACGTTAACAACTTTACATATCTGAGCAGCATCATCGAAAACCAAGGTGGATCCAATGCAGATGTGAGGGCGCGGATTGGCAAAGCGAGGGCTGCATTTCTACAGTTGAAAAATATCTGAAACTCCAAACAACTCTCATACAAAACCAAAATCAGGATGTTCAATACAAATGTCAAGACAGTTCTACTGTATGGAGCGGAAACATGGAGAACTACGAAAGCCATCATCCAGAAGATACAAGTGTTTATTAACAGTTGTCTACACAAAATACTTCGGATTCGTTGGCCAGATGCCATCAGCAACAACGAACTGTGGGAGAGAACAAGTCAGATCCCAGTGGAAGAGGAAATCAGGAAGAAGCGGTGGAAGTGGATAGGACACACACTACGAAAAGCACCTAACTGCGTCACAAGACAAGCCCTCATATGGAACCCTCAAGGCAAAAGGAAAAGAGGAAGGCCAAGGAACACACTACGCCGAGAAATAGAGAAAGATATGAGAAGAATGAACAAACATTGTACAGAACTGGAGAGGGAAGCCCAGGACAGAGTTGGTTGGAGAAAATTGGTGTGCGGCCTATGCTCCATTGGGGGTAACAGGTGTAAGTAAGTAAGTAGTAAGAACTGTAGAAGGGTGTGACAGCAGTAAGGTGTTTGTTTCCCTTAGACAACCAACATCTGCAGCGATTCTACCTTCTCACAACGCAAGCAAGGGATTCAAAAAGGTCGACCCTAAAAATGTCACACCTCACCTTACCCTACATTTCATTTCCATTTTGAAGCGCAGAGCTGACACTTGAAAAAAATTCTCATGAAAAGAACGTGCTAACCGGCCTTCCAAAATGATAACATTCTAATTTTTCTAACAAGTGAAATTTCCCCCACCACACATTCTCTCAGTGGTCCGATGGTTAGGCGTTCGCCTACAATACCGAAGGTCCCGGGTTCGAACCCCGCGGGGTACAGGAGTTGTGGATGCGCACTTCTGAGGAGTCCCATATCGGGACGAGACGGCCGTCCAGTGCTTCCAGGTTTCAAATGGTGGTATATGTTTGATCGATTCATGGTTTCAAATAAAACATACATTCACTATAAATTTGTAACTTAAAACTTTTAAATAATTTTTAAAATTTTTAAAAAATATATATCACACATAAATATTAGATAAACATGTAGTTTAACAATAACAACGCAGACTGTTTTTGTATTTTTCAAATGTGACTAGAGATTTATCGATCTTAATTAATACAATAATCTCAATGATAATAAATTTTATTCGTTATCATAGTTTCAAAACAACGGAAGTAAATATATTGAAATCATCAATCAATCAACCAATCAATCAGTGTTAGACCACCACTAAAAACCTGGAAGCAGCGGATGGCCGTTTCGTCCCGGTATGGGACTCATCAGCAGTGTGTGTATCTACGATTCCTGCTACTCGCAGGATTCGAACCCAGGAACTTAAGGCGTTGTGCCCAAATGCCTAACCTCTGAACCACTGAGCCGACCGACATTCAGCTGTAGTAATGTGTAATCCTGATCAATCTAAGGATGTAGTCTGACAATGCAATGACTGATAATTTCAAGGTGTATAAAAACACTGATCACCATAACTCTAATTGAGAAAATCAATATATCAAGTTTTCTTTACATTGTTTTAACTTTTAGTGGCGCGAAATTTGACTCTAATTGCCATTGATTAACTGCGCTCGTGTGATGGTGAGGATGTGATGCCTAATACAGAATGAGTTTATTTTCTAAGATTATTGTTCACTCAGACAAACTAGAGGATAAGAAGCGATAAGTTCAAACAAAACGGAGAAGGCCAGCATGTCAACTTAATTTGATGTGACATAATGAGCTACCTCTGGTCAGATAAACATAAACTAAACATACGTTAAATAATCAATAAAATAATACGTACATTCAAGGTCAAACAAAATACATGTGAATGAACTACTTACTGTTACCACCAATGGAGCATAGGTCGCCGACCAGTATTCTCCAACGTACTCCCTTTCCACTTCAATCTTATTTTCGTTCATTCTTCTCATGTCTTTCTCTATTTCTCGGCGTAATCTGTTCCTTGGTCTTTCTCTTCTCCTCCTTTCACCTTGAGGATTTCATGAGTAGGCTTATCTTGTGAGACAGCTGGGTGCTTTTCGCGATATGTATCCCATTCACTTCAATCGCTTCTTCCTCATTTCCTCCTGCACTGGAATCTGATTTGTTCTCTCCTGTAGTAGATTGTTGCTGATCGTGTCTGGCCAACGAATCCGAAGTATTTTGCGTAGACAACTGTTATGTAGTTCTCTAAGTTTCCGCTTCATATAGAAGAACTATGTTGACATGTATATGGAAAATCTTAATCTTGGTGTTGATTGATATTTGTTTAGAGTTCCAGATGTTGTTCAACTGTAGAAATGTAGCCCTTGCTTGGTTTGCCGATCCGCTCCCTCACATCTGCATCGAATTCACCCTGGTTGTTGATGATGGTGTGCAGATATGTAAAGCTTTTTACGTCCTCCAAGGCATCTCCATCCAGAGTGATTTGTTTGGCGCATGTTGTGTTGTATCGTAGAATCTTACTTTTCCGTTTATGTATGTTGAGAACTGCTGCTGCAGAGGCTGCTGCTACACTGATTGTCTTCTCTTGTATTTGTTATTGCATGTTCGATAGAAGAGCTTGGTCATCTGTGAAATCCAGATCGTTCAGCAACATCTTGGCTGCCCAATGGATACCGTTTTTTTCTTCCAGATGTTGACGTCTTCATAATCCGGTCGATCACCAGAAGAAAGAGAAAGGGTGAGAGTAAGCAACCTTGCCTGACACCGGTCTTCACCTCAAATGAGTCTGTTAGCTGTCTTCCGTGAAGTGAAGCAAAAGTGAGTTGGAGCGACTCAATACGACAAGGAATAGTTAACTAACTATTTACAGTCAAACAAAAATGAACTAGATATGTTGTGATCAACAATCAAGGTTATGCACGAATCATGGCAGACAAGGTTGTACGAACTGAGAATAAATAGTAAGTGACTCAGGCAGGAATTGTTAGTTAGTTTATCTAAAAGCTTGAACAAGTCGTATTGTTGTGCATGAAAACTCAGGTGAGGACATCATCAGAGTTGTTAAGCACATGTACAAAACCTTCCCGTGAAAATCATCATTTGCAAACTAATCCTTATTTGTTTCAGATTTCAGTGTTTTTTTCATTTAGACTATTCAGACTTCAGTTCACTTTACGTTACCTACAAATCGCCTTCTGTTCGCATTTCTACAATTAAAAAATATCTGAAACTCCAAACAACTTACAACCAAAATCAAAATCAGGATTTTCAATACAAATGTGAAGACAGTTCTACTGTATGGATAGGAAACTTGGAGAACTACGAAAGGCATCATCTAGAAGATACAGGTATTTATGAACAGTTGTCTACGCAAAATACTTCGTATTCGTTGGTCAGACACCATCAACAACAACGCACTGTGGGAGAGAACAAATCAGATTCCAGTGGAGGAGGAATTCAGGAAGAAGCGGTGGAAATGGATAGGACACACACTACGAAAAGCACCTAACTGCGTCACAAGACAAGCCCTCACATGGAACCCTCAACACAAAAGGAAAAGAGGAAGACCAAGGAACACATTACGCCGAGAAATAGAGAAAGATATGAGAGGAATGAACAAACATTGGACAGAACTGGAGAGGGAAGCCCAGGACAGAGTTGGTTGGAGAAAACTGGTTGGCGGCCTATGCTCCATTGGTGGTAACAGGCGTAAGTAAGTAAGTAAGTAAATAAGCAAGTAATAAAAACATACTTATCCTTTTTCAACAAGTTCAACTACTTATATATTGATTGTTATTTTTTTCTCTTGATAGACAAAACAATTCTAAATTTACCAGTATCAAGTAGTACTCATGATGAAGATTCACCAACAGCAAGTAGTACAAATTCTCAAACTGATCATCATTCTTTAACATATCCTTCAAAAGAACCAATGAAAGTTATGTCTACACCGTCACCTTCTCGTCCTCCAAAACCGGCTAGTATCAATATTAGATCAAATGCTAACAGTGGTGTTGTGAATACGGATTCATCTAGAACAGTAATTACGATTATTATTATTATCGTTTTTGTTTTGTTTAAGTTGACTGAAAAATTTATGATTTTTTTTCAAAAATTGTATTCTTAATGTTAGGTTCGTCACTAGGTATGCTTGAAACTATTACGGGTTCCACTTAGTCGATAAACACGAACTAGACAATGAACCAGCGTCCAGATAGGTTACCTTGATCTGCTGACTAATGAAAAATCTTGATATAGCGTAGAAGTATATTCTACAAACGCCTAGCAAGCGCACAATGTAATCAAGCACACAAATCGCGTTTATTTATACATCATAGAAACGTCCTTGGAACAGTCACAAAAATAACACACTAAAATAACACATCAACCAATCAAAGACAAGAGCTTTCCTGGTGGGAAATGTGATCTCAAGGTCAGCTGATCAGCCTATGCTCGCAAACGAGAAATACCATGAAATAAGATGAAACCAGCCACACCGTAAAACAGTTCATGTGTGTGCGTGTGTGTGTGTACATAACAGATTACAAAATCACACAATCATAATACGAACAAAATGATTGATGTATTTTGTACAAACAGTATGTTACGACTGCACGTAAACACGTCAACTTGATATACTTGAACTATTACGAGTTTACCTAGTCAGAAAAACGAGAGTGAGGATCGAGAGTCCGGCGACATGACATGCTACTCAAATCCGATTATCCCAAACCCCATATTTAGTTAAAATAAGAAGACGTGATATGAAGTAGAACCTGTATTCTACAAGCATCCAGAAAGTACGAGGTCCGAATCCAGAAGAGAATCAGAATCCTGGACTAGGGATCCAGGGCCGAGCATTTGGTCCTGGTCGCGGTCATAAAACGTCACAGATAATGCGTATTTATACATTTTGGTCTAATAGGAAACAGCATTGAAGTCTGTGACATTGACAGTTAAGACGACTACTAGGAAGGAACATTTGAGATGACATTGATAGTCAGGACAATCAATAAGGGACAACATTGGAGCAAGTGACATTGATATCTAGGACGACCTTAAAATTGATCAGTAGGAATTAACCAATAGGAATAGACCAATAATTCTCTTAGGATATTGGATGAATATCCGAACACTTTTCTACTGGCTACTTTCTTTTTTCTCCTCATACATCTTTTTTTGAAGCTGATTCCTTTACCACAAGCATCGAATTTAACTTATTCCGAAGGATTATATGAAATTATCGATAATGAGAATAAATCATCATGTCAGTTGTCAAACACAAAACAAGCGCTTATTAAATCTTCGGAAAAAACTCCGAATAAAGTAAGTTGTTTTAGCATCATTATGTGATTGATGAATATTTTTTCAGGATTTGAAACTTTTATAGTTTACAGAGATTTTTATCCATTAGTTAAAAGCATCAAAGGAATCAAATTGTTTAACATTTTTATTATAGTTTCTTCCAAAACGCACAAACGCACACACACACACACGCAAACTTATTTCTCTTTAAAGAATGTTAACTGAAAATCATAAGGTAAAAGAATGTTTTAAGTGACTTACGTACTTACTTACTTAGTTACTTACGATTGTTAACCCTAATGGAGCATTGGCTGAGGACCAGTATTCTCCATCCTACTCTGTCCTGATCTTCCTTTTAGAGTTCTGTCCGATTCTTGTTCATTCTTCTCATGTCTGTCTCCGTTTCTGTTTGGATATTCATCCAATATCCTAAGAGAATTATTGGTCAATTCCTGTTGGTTGATTCCTACTGGTCAACTTTATGGTCGTCTTAGATATCAATGTCACGTGCTCCAATGTTGTTTCTTATTGGTTGTCCTCACTATCAATGTCACTCCAAACGTTGCTTCCTATTGGTCGTCATAACTGTCAATGTCACAGAATTCGATGATGTTTACTATTCAACCTAAATGTATAAATACGCATTGTGTAAAGTATTATGACCAGGACCCGGATCCCTAGTCCAGGATTCTGATTCTCTTCTGGATTCGGACCTCATACTTTTTAGATGCTTGTAGAATACAGGTTCTACTTCATATCATGTCTTCTTATTTTCACTCAATATGGGGGTCGGGATAATCGGATTTGTGTAGCATTTCGTGTCACCGGATCCTCGATCCTCACTCTCGTTTTTCTGACTAGGTAAACTCGTAATAGTTCAAGTATATCAAGTTGATGTGTTTACGTGCAGGCTTAACAGAAACCGCCTATCACTATGTGAAGTGATGTGACTTCGAAATGAATTCTGATAGGCTTGGCTGTAGTCATCATATCAAGCAATTTCCCAGCTTGTCTTGTTATTCCCCCGAAAAAGCAAACAGCAGATACTGTAAGATCCATTTTTTGAAGTCTTTGTTTATGCAAATCCCTCCATGTATACATTTGTAATTTGTCGTTATTGATTCCTTTCAGTTGTACATTTTGTTAGTCTGTTCGATTCCATTTTTGAGATGATAATATTTGTATTTTATTATGGTTTCTATTTCTTCTGTCTTTATTGAGTTTCTATGTTTCTTTCTAAACTGCATCTATGTTGTTTAAGTTGATACTTAGTCATGACGACAGCCATATTGATTGTGTTGCTTGCATGGACTGGCATTGTGCATTTCGATTGTGAATCGGAAGACACTTACAGAATTGGAAACACTCTGTGTTATAAAGCAACCAAATATTATCTTTCGAACGAATCTGATCTATCCAGGAGGGATAGAATAACATTTATTTGTTGCTGTTGATTTGATCAAATGAACAATTCTTGGTGGAATAGCTGAGTAGTAATATTGTTTAGGCGATGATGCATTATTTATATTTATGATAAATATTAGAACTGTCATTTACCTAAATCACTTGTTTTGGTTTTAAACTGGGCAAGGCGCGTATCCAAACTACCCAAACAGTTATTCCACAGTCCAAACCTCAGTTTGGATCCTACAATCTAGTATGAAACCACTTCATCAATAGGCTGAATTCGCGTTATTCAATCTGAAGTGAAAAATATTTTGATACGAGTTAAAAAAAGACAATATTTCAAACGTTATCACACGTTATCAGTTTTCAAGGTCATACATGGAGCAAGCAATTTGATTGGTTTTCATTGACACCAGCCCCAGATAAAAACAAAGATCAGTAATCAGCCCTTAAAACGACTTACACACACACACACGAAAAAAAGGAATAGGGCAGTATGCAGTCCTTGTTGAATTATTTGTTTAAATTGATGTCAAAATTCGCAACATTGTTCAATTATCAATATTCAATAGTGTAATTTAACTTGTCAAGCAAGTAATGGTTTCTTTTTTTTTCAACTTTTTCTTTATTCAATCAAACGAATACTATTTATTGAATTACACATTCTTGAAACCATGAATTGATCAATGTTAGACCACCACTAGAAACCTGGAAGCACTGGACAGCTGTTTCGTCCTGGTATGGGACTCCTCAGCAGTGCGCATTCACGACTCCTTCAACCTGCTGCGGAGTCCCATACCAGGACGAAACAGCTGTCCAGTGCTTCCAGGTTTCTAATGGTGGTCTAATATTGATCGATTCATGGTTTCAAGAATGTGTAACTTGACAATCTTCGCAACCCCGTAATTTATTGAATTAATTTTTAATAGGTAGAGAAATATTTTTTATCTGTTGGGAAAAAAACTTTCGACAGACAAAAATCAAATCAAAGTTTAAGCACAGATTCATCATCATCACACTCTACAAAGAGAATACAATCAAAGGTAGGTGAGATGTGACTTTTAATCGATACAAACATTATCCTAATTAATACGATGATATAGTTCATGGAAATAGTGAATCATAAAAAAGGAAAGTTATCAGTCAGTCAGCTGCAACATAGAATTTCGTACGTACGTAAGTACGTCAGTTCATGTTGCCATACCATATTATAGCACAAGGAGATGCAATTTTCAATTCAAATCCCATAGTGGTAGATGTAGTAGAACTATTAGGAGTAATAGAAAGATAAGGGTTCAAGAAGTATAATTCAGTGAGATAAATTTAGAAATATAAAACTAGAGTGTTGACGAATCCAGAAGATTAGGATTTGAAAGAACCAATGAGTGGATGCACCTGAGTGATTCCAAACGATTTTGAACCATATCATTAAAAGTCTTGCAGACCCTAACCACGTAGCCTACATCTAACAACAAGACTCAGTCCACTTGTCAGTGACTTCATGGATTTCTGCAATGTTTTGTTTGGCCACCCCTAACTTTCTTCCAACCTACCCCTAAACCACAGAGCATAGCTCGTCGAGGCAGTCTTTGTTTGGGCATTCGTAACGTATGTCCAAACCACCTCAAATGATCAAGTTTCATAACTTCATCTATTGATCTGCCATTCTTACCTAGTACTCGTTTCCTAAAATACAGCATTGCTTATTCGGCTGTCCCACAATACACGAGCAATGCTTCTAAGACATCTGTGACCTAATACTAGTAACCTACGAATATCTCCTACTATCACTGGCCATGTTTCAGATCCGTATAAGAGAACGGAGCGAACTGCTGCACAGTACACTCGTCCTTTGATTAGCAAATGGTTATCTCGTGCTGAGATTTCACTTTACACCAGGCCATCAGTACCGATGAGACTTCCGAAGTAAGTGAATTGGTCAACACGCCCATCTGCTTCACTCTCTATCACTAGTTCAGGTGCCGATGCAACCCAATCTTGAAGCAACATTTTGCATTTCGAATGGGAAAACCGCATTCCGAACATGCTTGCACTGTTGCGTAGGGTAGTCAGAAGACTCTGCATTTTGTCAGCATCTTCACCAAGTAGGACTATGTCATCGGCATGTTCTAAGTCAATAAGCGAGCCTCCTGTTAGAAGGTCTATTCCTGAAAAATCTGACGAGGATAATGTTAACTCTAAAAGGATGTCTACGACAAAGTTAAACAAAAATGGAGAGAGTGGACATCCGTGACGGACACCACTTGAAGTAAGGAATTCCGATGACAGTTCGCCATATGCTCTCACTCGACCTGTAATGTTCGAGTAGAGAGCTTGTATAAGGTTAATGTACTTCTTTGGTACACCTTTCAATGACAGACACTGCCACAGAACCTCACGATCCACTGAGTCAAATTCCGCTTTTAGGTCCAGGAAAACAACTATTGTCGGAAGTTGAATAATTTACAAACGATAGTTTTATTGATAATCTAGAAGTATGGCTATTTCATTCCATATTATGTTTTAATCTTGTCAGTTATAATCAAGCACACTAACTGTTGATTCGATCGGTTCACTGTCTCATACCACACTAGCACATAGAGAGACGGAATTGTTGTAGCAGTAATGATTATGACTAGGGATTGAAGATATCATTAAGGAAGTACATCCTATTAAAATAAATTTAAACGAAGAAATGAAGTCAAGAGGAATTCAGAAGACCAGAATTTGAAAGAGGGCAAAGAAGAGATGCACCTGTGCCATTGCAAGCGATTTTGAAAAATGTCATTTGTAGTTTTTAAACACCGGTTACGATCGTCATGCGGATCCCTCAACTAGATAGTCTACTACGCCTACTAATATGGCTCAGTCCACTTGTTATTGGTGACTTCATGGATTTATGTCATATCTTGGTTTGACCGCTCCTAGCTTTCTTCCAGCCTACCTATACGCCACAAAACATCGCTCGCTAAGTCAGTCGGTGGTTATGCATACGGAACATGTATCCCAACCATCTCAACTGATGAATATTCACTAATTCATCTATTGATTTGCCATTCCTACCTAGTACTCATTTCCTAGCCTTCAAATTGCTTATTCGATGGTCCCAGGATGTGCGACCAATGCTTTGAAGGCACCTATAATCAAATACTAGTAATCTTCGAATATCCACTCTTCTTAGTGGCCACGTTGCAAACCCATGAAGTAGGATGGAGCGAACTGCTGCAGGGTAGACTCGTCCTTTAGTTAACAAACGGATATCTCACCTACGCTATGAGTGACGCAAGTTGGCAAAAGCCAGTAGAGCCCTAATATATCCGTGCTGAGATTTCGTCAGTCACAAGACCATCAGTGCTGATGAGATCAGAATGTAAAAATGCAGACATTTCCTACTAAATACATAACTGATAAAGTATCCACGACTCCTACATCTCGCAGAATTCGAACCCGACCTTCGGTATTGTGCGCGAACGCCCAACCTTTGGATCACTGGGCCGGCTGGTATCCGACGGTGTTAATGTCTAACTCTGATTGATCTAGAGATTTCGCGCAATACATTGTTATGTAATGTAGTGTCCCAAATCTGGTCATGAAACGCTCTGAACCAACCCCCTCCCTAAAATTGACTACTTGATACAACATACATGTTTTATCCCGTTAGAAAAGTAAGCTATTTCTTGACCAATGAGATGATCTCTATTCGTTCTTGAGGACATTTTCTGATATGGTAATCAACGGATCTTCTGATTAGTTCATCATTATATCAACCATCATTTAGAAAGGCTTTATACCATTAAACACAGTAAAAACTTGATAAATTATATTAATCCAAGCTGATTACAATAAAATAATGAAATCTAATCAGCTTGCCTACCAGACTACATCCTTACATTCCGTTAGTGGGATGGAGATGTGATTAAAGCATGATAGCTGCGCGCTGATTGGCTAGTTCATATCCAATCAGATCTGGTCGACACTTGGAGAGCATTCCAGAAGCTTCTCATGAAAAAAACTATAAAGATACTAATGTTGTTTCGATTTCGCCTTCTCTTCGGCTTTTTACTTCGCTTTAACTTTGCTGTTTGGAATATCAACTTTTCCTTGTTCAACCGTGTTCTGATTTGGGGACTTGTCGAGTGTATTGTTGTAAGAGAATACTAAGCAATAGGAATGAATAGCTGGGTGTTCTACTAAGAGACAATTATAACACACTCTTCACTGAACCACTATGGAAACACTATTCTATGCATAACTGTTGGGGATGTTAGATTCCCAGAACTAGCTGCTTGATAAATATCTTTATTTTGGATTTGGACCAATCAGTTGACCTTGAGATGACATTTCCCACCAGGAAAATCCTTGGCTGTGGTTCGTTACTGTGTCATTTTAGTGTGCTATTTTTGTGATTGTCCCAAGGACGTCTCTATAGAGTATAAATAAACACCATTTGTGTGCTTGGATTCATTGTGTGTGCTGGCTGGGTGTTTGTAGAATACAATTTCTACGCTACATCAAGACTTCTTGGTGGTACAATTAGGACAATCGAATCACAGTAGCCTACCTGGACGCTGGTTCATTGTTTTGTTCTCGTTATTCGACTAAGGTGAACGTTCCTAGAGACAATAACTTTAATACTCTTCATTAAATAACTAACTATATGTGTTTTGCGACTAGTTTATAAAGTTGCACTATAAAGTTGGTTGGCTTGTTAACTTGTAGTGAAGGAGAACACAGGTGAGGGCAACCAAATTGTATTTAACGAAAATTACAGAGTTACTCAGTAGTAAAATAGGAAAACCATATCGTAAACGGTTAATTTGCAAATCTTCAATCCATCATCAATCCATTGTCTGACATTTCACTATTCATGTGTTTCATAAAAATTCCAGTGTATTCCCACTCTTCTTCTTTTCTTGATCTTCTCCCATCTTTTGCTGCCAGACATTACGTTTACACTCGCGTCCTATACTACTTATAAGTAGCGCGCACCACAAACTTACTTACTTACTTACTTAGGTCTGTTGCCCTCAATGAAGCAGCATAGGAAGTTGTTGATTGATTTGTTAAAGTTTCATCTAAAAATTATTTTAAAAAAAATACAATTTTTTTGATGAATAAAACTTGCATGATTTGATTGATTGTGTTTTTTCTCTTTGTAGAAGAATAGTGTCAACAAAGATTCATATTCATTGTTCAATTCAACAACTAATCTTTCAATAAAATCATTTTGCAATAACATCACTACTACTACTACTAAATCAAATATTAAATGGAAATTGTTTGAATTATTTGAAAAAAAAGAATTACCAAAAATTGCAAAATATACATGTGCATTACATGTAAGTTTTTATGAGTGTTTGGTGATTGATTCATCATATATCCTAAAAGAGAACTAATTTTTGAAAGTGTAAATTCTATTGGTCGATTTCTATTGATCAATATATTATGGTCGTCTCAATGTTGTCTCCTATTGGTTGTTACATTCTTCAAATGGTGTTTCCTATTGGTCATCCGAGCTGTCAATGTCACAGACTTCCATTTTGTTTTTTTATTCGACCCAGCCGTATAAATATGCATAATCTGTAACATTTGATGACCTGGACTGGAATCCTCAGTCCGGGGTCCGTGTCCTTTTCTGGACTCGGAACTCGTACTTTCTGGATGTTTGTAAGGGCCAACTAGCCAAATAATCACTAGATTTTTAACCGCTTACAGAAGCACTCCGGACCATACGGTCCCAGAGGGGAGGTCTCCAGCTGAAACAATGTTTGGAAGAGGTATTCGGACTATTTTTAACGCGATGTTGCCCCCTAAAAGAGCGAATAGGTACAGGCCAAATCAAAATATTCGCAGCTTCAACGTTGGCGATAAAGTGTTCCTAAAATCATATCTGGGGAAAAATCAATGGGAACCAGGAACCGTCGTCCAAAGACTAGGAAGAGTTTTGTATCGAATAACAGGAGCTTTCGGAAGCTGTGTTAGACACATGAACCAACTGCGAAAGGACGAAAGAATGGTACGCTCGGGTGATAATCGCGCAAATCTACTGCTGGAGTTGATCACAGAACCGACAACCACACATTTGTCCCGGAATACCGAAGAAAAGGGAGGGTCGGAGACACTAACTCGAAAAACTACAACCAGAATGGAACGCCGCCGCAAATCAGTCGTAAGATTACAAGTGGACTCAAGAAAAAAATCTTATTCCGGGGAGGTGTTGGGATAGCCGATCGAGAAGAAAGCAACGCACATTGTGGATTGATGAACTTATCGATTAAATGCTTAAATATTTCAAGGGCAGTCGATCGATCCCAACAGGGAAACTGTTGGGGATGTTAGATCCCCAAAACTCGCTTGTTAAATGACTTGATTTTGGATTCACGTTTGCCAGCATGGGCTGATCAGTTCACCTTGAGATTTCATTTCCAAACAGCAAAATCCATGGCTGTGATTGGGTGCTATGTATTTCAGTGTGCTATTTTCGTAACTGTCTCAAGGACGTTTCCATGATGTATAAATAAACGAGAGTGGTGTGCTTGATTATACTATGATTGCTGGGTGTTTGTAGAAATATACTTTCTACGCTTACAAAGCCTTTTATCTTCAGTTTGAGATTCAACGTAGCCTCCTATCTGGATGCTGGTAATTGTCTCGTTCGCGTTTATCGACTAAGGTGAGTTCGTCATAGCTTCAAGCGTACCTAGTGACGAACCCTACAGAAGTCTTCTTTTATTCAGTAGGGGTTTATAGACACTCGAATTAGAGCAGCATTTTGTGTTGCCGGATCCTCGTGATCCTCTCTCTCGTAATAATCCAAGCATATCAGTGAGTCAGTACTTTTTTTTAGTTTCATGCCAATTATCAGTTTAATATTTTAGATTCCCTTACGATATTCCTCTTACTATGTTTTTTTTTATAGATAAATCCTGATGAAACAGTGAAAACTATTGTACAAGCGTCTAAAACATGCACAAGACAATCAAAACAAAATTTACCATATTTAATTTTAGATAGAAATGCTTTAGCCGAATCCAATCAAATCTTGAATATTGAACATTGTGGTAGTGGTGGCGGTAATTTAAATCTTACTTATACTAATCGTAACACTTGTTTAAATGATGAACATAATCAAATTGATAATAATCAATTTGAATTTCGATGTTTAAATTCAAATAGTTGGCTAACGGATACAATAACTGTTGATTTATTAAAAAATTCATTAGATTTACGTGAAGCAGGTTTGTTAGATATACGTGAAGGTGAAAAATTAGAAGTGATGTGTATATTTATGGAGCCTAGATTATTAGTAAGAAATACAATTGGTCAATGTAAGTTGATCGATCAATTAGTGTTTTCTGTTTATTGATTGATATTCTTTTTTTCTTTTCTTGAAACCATCAATCAATCAATGTTAGACCACCATTAGAAACCTGGAAGCACTGGACGGCCGTCAAGTCCTGGTATGGGACTCATCAGCAGTGCGCATCCACGACTCCTGCACTCCGCAGGATTCGAACCCAGGACCTTCAGTATTGTAAGTGAATGCCTAACCATCAGACCACTGAGCCCGTATCTAACGGTGTTAATGTCTAACTTGATCAAATTCACGGAGTTGCGCAACCTCATACACAGTCTTCGGTAGTAGTTACTGCCTACACACGAACAGGTCGAACTTCACTGGTCACGTCTTCCTACTAGAACTCAGAGAATATTCCTCATGAAGCTAGTCACTAGTGAGCACAGATAAGTTGCATTACGGGGTTGTGAAGATTGTTAAGTTACACAATTTTTGAAACCATGAATCGATCAATGTTAGAGTCGTGGATGCGCACTGCTGAGGAGTCCCACACCAAGACGAAACGGCCGTCCAGTTCTTCCAGGTTTCTAATGGTGGTCTAACACTGATCGATTCATGGTTTTAAAACATGTGTAACTTGACAATCTTCACAACCCCGTAATGCAAATTCTTTTTTTCAACAACTTGTTAACTTGTTTGTCACTTGATATGCTTGATTGAAACTATAACGAGTTCACCTTGGTCGATAAACGAGAACCAAACAATGGATGACGCATTGATATGATGGGCTACTCCGTCTGATCCGTTTACCCCAAACTAACTGGAGAAAAAAAGTCTTCTTGATATGGCGTAGAAAGTGTATTCATTCTGCAAACACAAATCGCGTTTATTTATACATCATAGAAATGTCCTTGGGTGAGTGATAAAAATAGCATACCAAAAATAACACATATCGACCAATCACAGCCAAGGATTTTCTGAGGGTGGGAAATGTGATCTCAAGGTCAACTGATCAGACCATGATGAATAAAATCCAAAAATTGAGACAATTATCAAGCGAATTCCGAGTATCCAATGTCCACAACACAATTGTTGATAATAGGCAATAGATTTAATCAATTTTGGTTAACGAAAGTGAATGTTTAGATATTGAGAATTTTCTGTCGCTTGAAACATAGTTGAACATTAGCTGTTTATTATTTAAGGATTATTGCACACATAGGCTTAAACTTAGTGCCGGTTCTTTATAAAAGGCTAACTCTTTATTTTCATCAAGGTGCTATACTGTTATATCTACTCATTCAGTGAACGCATTCTGCTGTTTCCCAGACTATAAAGACCATTTTCTATTTGTATCTGATATGTTCGTCAATAGGTACGATTGAAGTTATTACGAGTTCGTCTTAGTCGATAAACACGAACGAGACGATTACCAGCGTCCAAATAGGCTACTTTGAATCCCAAGCTGTAAAACAGAAGTCTTGGTAAGCGTAGAAAGTATATTCTACAAACACCCAAACAGTACAATCAAGCATATAACTCTCGTTTATTTATATACATCATAGAAACATCCTTAGGATAGTTACGCAAATAACACACTAAAATACACAGCAGCCAATCACAGCCATGGATTTTGCTGGTTGGAATGGAAATCTCAAGGTCAAGTGATCAGCTCATGCTGGCAAACGTGAATCCAAAATAAGGCATTTATCAAGAGAGTTTTGGGGATCTAACATCCCTAACAGTATCTTTCAATAATCTGGATTTTCTATGAATTCATGATACTCACAACATTTGTTAGTATAAAATGTTATAGTTAACAGTATACAAATCTATATTATTATTATTATTATTTGGTCATATCTACGCTTTCCTATTTCTTAAAAATGACTGAGCATAATTGAACTTATTCTACAAAAAAATAAGTAATTTAGATGTGTTGATAACTGTCTATCAACACCAAATTTACGATGTTTAGTACAACTATCAAGACAGTTCAACTGTATGTGGTGGAAACTTGGAGAACTACTAAAGCCATCATCGAAGAAGCATCCGCGGACCTCGAAATAAATATTGGCCCACCAACAATTGAAGAGATCAGTATGGCCATCAGATAAATCAAGAGCGGCAACGTAGCGAGACCAGACAATATTCCAGTAGAGGCAATGAAAGCAGGCGTGGAAGCAACTGCAAAAATAATTCACATTCTCTTCAAGAAGATTTGGGATGAGAAACAAGTACCATCAGATTGGAAAGAAGGATACCTCATCAAAATACCAAAGAAAGGCGATCTCAGCAAGTGTGAGAACTACAGAGGCATCACTCTTCTTTCAATACCAAGCAAAGTCTTCAACAGGTTGTGGTTAAACGGAATGAAGGACTTCGTAGACGCTCAACTTGGAGACCAACAGGCAGAATTTTGTAAGGATCAATCATGCACCGACCAAATTGCAGCATTACGGATCATTGTGGAACAATCAATTGGATGGAACTTCGAAACGACAAAACATGTGCCAACCAAATCACTCTTCGTGGACACACCTTAGAGGACGTTAACACCTTTACATATCTAGGCAGCATCATTTTCGAACAAAGTGGATCTAATGCAGATGTGAAGGCGCGTATCGGCAAAGCAAGGGCTGCATTTCAACAGAACCAGCATCAAAGTCAGAATTTTCAATACAAATGTCAAGACACTTCTAGTATATGGGGCGAAAACTCGCAGAACTACCAAAGCCATCATCCAGAAGATACAAGTGTTTATGAACAGTTGTCTACACAAAATACTTCCGATCCGTTTACCAGACACCATCAGCAACAATTCACTGTGGGAAAGAACAAACCAAGTTCCAGTGGAGAAGGAAATCAGGAAGAAGTGCTGGAAGTAGTGAAAGGAAACGCATTGCGGAAAGCACACAACTGCGTCACAAGACAAGCTCTCACATAGTAACCCTTAAGGTCGACAAAAAAGAGGAAGGCCAATAAACACATTACACAGAGAAACGGAGACCACCAACATGAGAAGAATGAACAAGAATTCGACAGAATTGGAAAGGGAAGCTCAAGACAAACTAGGATGAAGAATATTGGTCTGCAGCCTATGCTCCATTGGGAGATAACAGACGTAAGTAAGTGAGTAATGTGCTGATAAGTAGCAAACATTAAGTTGAAATGAAAATTTCACTTTATATACACTAGATTTATTTATTTATTGTTTCATGATATACAGATGGATTAGTTCGTCAAAGTGAAGTACGAAATCAATAAAAAAATCTCAATTTTATCATTCATATTGTAAGTGAATTTTGACCAACTGAGTTCTTTCAGAAATTTAACAATTATTTTATTCCTAGAGAAACGATTGGATAAAATTTTCATATACGGATGGCCTTGAGTGAACCAATCAGAAATGAGATAAAATTTCATCTAGTTTGAGTGAAGTTTGCAATGCATTATTGACAGATAACTTGAATACTGTTATGATTAAAAAAGTAGAACTTAGCCAGTATATGTGTAGTGAAGGAGAACACAGGCGGGCCAAACGAATTGTATTTACGAAAATTACAGAGTTACTCAGTAAAATAGGAAAACCATATCGTAAATCGTTAATTTGTAAATTATCAGTTCATCATATCGAACTGGACTGTTCCTGTTGCAAAACATCAATCCATTGTCACTATTCATGCGTTTCATACAAATTCCATTGTGTTCTTCTAACTCTTCCTTTCTTGATCTTCCCCCATCTTCTGCTGTCAGACATTACGTTGACACTCACGTCATATACTACTTATAAGTAGCTCGCACCATATATGGTCTTTAAAATGCTTGAAATCAATGGAAATTTCTATTATAAAACAGAAGAATGAATTTAAGATAGTGATTAATGTTAATTACCAAACATAATTGTTCTCAAGACAAATCACATTACAAAACTGTTTGCTATGTGATTCAGTGTCTTGTCAGTAGTGTTCAATGAATCTAGGTAATATACTTCCTTTCTTAACTAAAAGTTTCGCAAGTTTAAACACAGTAGAATGACAAACCATTGTATCATGTGGTTGACCGTTCGTGAAAAAATCCCTAATTTGAAAAACCAAGCTCAGAACTCCAAATTTAACTTTAAAACTATGCTCCCAACTTGTCAGCATCATAGCTGATCTCATTTGGTGACGAGAAATATGTAGATATTTTATGAGTGTTAGGTAGTTTCTTGATTGGCTGCTCAAGGTCATCATGATATTATACTTTAATTATATATCTTTGAGTTATTTCGTCAATCAAGTAGGTTAAAACAGCTGAGAATTCTAAACCAGTGTTATTATCCAAACCGCAGTCATTGAGTAAACTGACACGGTAGCATACATGGTTAGTGGACAAGACTGCTGTCAAACGGAGTTTACAGTACATTTTTACGCGATGGTCAAATGTAAAACCAAAGAAATAATGCTCAGAAAACTCGATATCATCACCATGTAGGCACCTGAACTAGTGATAGGGAGTGAAGTAGTTGAGCATGTTAACCGCTTTATTTATCTTGGCAATCTCAGCAGTGCTGAATGTCGGTGAATAACAAAATCTCAGTACGGATACTGAAGACTCTACTGGCTTTTGCCAACTTGCGTCACTTATGGCGTAGGCGTGATATCCGTTCTCTAATCAAAGGACGAGTCTACTGCGCAACGGTTCGCTCCATCCTACTATATGGCTGTGCAACATTGCCAGTGAGAGTAGAAGATATTCGTAGGTTACTGGTTTTCGATCATAGGTGTCTTCGAAGCATTGCTCGTATACCGTGGGACAACCGAGTGAGCAATGCTGTCGTTAGGAAACGAGTACTAGGCAAGGATGGCAGATCAATCGATGAAGTGGTGAAACTTCATCAGTTGAGGTGGTTGGGACATGTGTTGCGTATGCCCAACCACCGACTGCCTCATTGAGCTATGTTATGTGGTGTAGGGATAGGTTGGAAGAAAGTTAGATGCGGCCAAATCAAAACATGGCACAAATACATGAAGTCACGAACAAGTGGACTGAGTCATATTGATATGTGTAGACTACCTGGTTGGGGTCCACGAGATGATAGTAATCGATGATTAGAGATCTTGAATGACATGGCTCAAAACCCTTTTCAATGACGCAGGTACACCCATTCTGTGGCTTCTCTCAAACTGTAATCTTCTGTAATCCTCATGACCGTTTTTCCCCCCTTATTTTTAATCTGTTCCTCTGGGGTAAACATCTCGAATGATATATATTCGATCTTTAATCTCTTTGATTACTGCAAATATTTCTACTACCTCTACTACTTACTATAAGATTTCAATTGATAATTGCGTCTCTGTTCTTATGTGGTATGGCAACTTGAACTTATGTACGTACGTACGAGGTTTTACGTTGTAAATGACTGAAATCATCCTACTACAGATCCCCTATTAAGCGACAGACTTACACTGTGGACACGTTTTAATGTATTTGTCAAAGGTTACGCGTCTGAATTATGTTTATATTACTAGAATATTTTAGTTAAGTTTAGTTACTTTGTGACTGAATAAATATAGTGGAGCTAAACTATTGTCTACAATATTAACTTTCACTATCAAATAGGCAGGTCTACTACCCAGAACTCAGGTCTCTCGTATGATCGAAAAATGAAGATTTCCGTTTTGCAAAAAAATCACATTACCGGATATGGGACAAAGGATATAAGGAGTTTTTGAGCCTATTCGCATCAAGCTAGACCGTATCTCTTGCTATCTTATGCCATACTATCTATCTGTATACCATATGTTATACTGCTCTATAGAGAGAGCTGAAGGTTGCCTATGAGACCAAAGGTTCGCTGTAAAATATTTTGAATGGCTTGTCATTGCTTTGGCAAGTATCGCTAACAGTTCATATACAAATTCAGTTAGCACGATGACTGATTTCATTGATATTGGTGGTTGCTTTGCAACGGTTCCCCGAAGGCCATTGTCATGGGAGTGCTCTGTATAGCATATCACCATTGCTAACAATTAATGAGTTTGACAGTCATGTAAGCGAGATGAGTCAAATTAACCTGTTCTTGCAGTGCATACTGACTGTGACGCGATCATGGATCGGAAATATAATCACTACTATATGTACTACTGATAATAATCAATGGTTAGAGACTCTGAATGACATGGCTCAAAATCGTTTGCAATGGCGCCGGTGCATTTATTCTTTGTGTTATCTCAAATCTTAGTCTTCTGGATTCTACAACACCTCTAGTTTTGACATTCTAAACTTTTTTCATTGAATTATACTTCTTCTAATCCTAACCTCTCCAATTACTTCTAATACCTTTACTACCTCTACTACTATTATTGGGTTTGAATTGACAATGACATCTCTGTGCTAATGTGGTATGGCAACATGAACTGATGTACTTACGTACAAAATTCTACGTTGCATCTGACTAACTGACTGACTAGTATATATATAAATATTGTGAATGGTCCACCAGAGTGTCAGGTGGTGTGCACCACACAGGATTAGGCCGAACTGTTCACATGGAAAAAGGTAACTCGTGGGCAGTCTCCTTGGTTCTCCAGTGTAAAATTGCCCTTTCTAATTAGAGTTTTTTACGTGTATACAAGATATATCACTTGACTTTTTAATACAGAGTGGAATTTCTTTCAAATTGTTTACTTTGTATCTTACTTAGGTTTTTAAGATGGAAAATTTGGCTTTCATGCAATCCAATTCATCTTCGTTTTCAATTCATTGTAATAATATACACTGAACTGTAGAATAAAATTTAAAAAAATCTAAGCGTCACTGTTACATACTACTACTACTAATACTACTATCAAATGTGAAGAGAAATATCCAGTTTTTATTGATTTTTCTTTTCAATCTCTGGTATTTTGTCGCAAAATCAACAAAAAAAACACACTTATTTTTGAGTTTCTTTTTGTCAACGGATTACCCAACCACCCAACCACCCACCCACATTAATTTATGATTTTTCTGTACTTGCATCATGTCACACAAATGAACATCACTTTATTATTATAACTACCTTGTCAAAAAAACAAAAAATATCATGCATTTGTATTTGTAAAGATTATTGTTGAAATATACTTTGTTTTTGTGTTTTTACTTTCATTGAGTAAATATTCACTTTCATAGTGAGTTTAATTATCTTGGGGCTGTGTTTTTTGGAGGTTTTGTGTGTTGTTTACACATTTGAAATCATCAATCAATCATTGTTAGACAGAGCACCATTAGAGGGAACCTGGAAGCACTGCAAGACGGTCGTCAAGTCCTGGTGTATGGGACTCATCAGTGACAGTGTGCATCCACTACTTCTGCACCTCGCAGGATTCGAACCCGGGACCTTCGGTATTGTGCGCGAACGCCTAATCATTGGACCACTGGGCCGACTGATATCAAACGGTGTTGATGTCTAACTCTGATTGATCTACGGATTTTGTGCGACCTCACCCATTTGTCTTTGGTAGTTACTGCCTACACCCGAAGAGGGGTGAACTCCATTGGTCACGTCTTCTGAACTAGAACTCCGAGAATTTCTTCACGAAGCTAGTCACCAGTGAGCACATGGTACGATACTTCCAGGCAGTTTTGTAGGTCTGTGTTTTTACACATTTAAAATCATCACCGCCATTAGAATGCCCACTGCCACTGATGAGTCCCATACAAGGACGAAACGGTCGTCTTTCAGTGCTTCCGGGTTTCTAATGATGCTCTATCTAACAATGATGGATTAATGACTTCAAATCAGATCAGAGTTAGACATTAACACCGTTGGATGCCGGTCAGTTCAGTGGTCCAATGGTCAGGCGTTCGCGCAAAATGCAGAAGGTCCCGGGTTCGAATCCTGTGAGGTGCAGGAGTCGTGGATGCGCACCGCTGATGAGTCGCATACTAGGGCGAAACAGCTTTCTAGTGCTTCCAAGTTTCTAATGGTGGTCTGCCTAACATTGATTGATTGACGGTTTAATTATCGTTGAATCTTATAAAAAAAAGGACAAACTGTGATTTATGTACTTGCATAGGCATAAAATCATTGGATGGAATAACGTTGGAGTTAGTTAGTCAGTCAGTCAGACAACAACATAGAACTTCGTACGTAAGTACGCACGTACACATATCAGTGTTCAAGTTGCCATACCACATTAGTACAGAGAGATACGCAACTGTTAGTTCAAATTCCATAGTGATAGAGAGATAGTAGAAGTATTAGCGGTAATGAAGAAGAGTAGGATTTGAAGATATTATTCAAGAAGTAGAATCTAGTGAAATAAACTTAAAAAGAAAAAAAGGTAAAGGTGATGAGGAATTCAGAAGGTTAGAATTTGAGAGAACACAAAGAATAAATGCACTTGCTCCTTTGTAAACGATTCTGAGCCATATCATTCAAGGTCTCTAACCGGCGGTTATTATCATTCCGCCAACCCCAATCTGGTAGTCTACATTTACCAACATGATTCAATTCAGTTGTCAGTGACTTCATGTATTTGTGCCATGTTTTGGTTTGACAGCCCACAGCTTTCTTCCAACCTACTCCTACATCACAAATCAAAGATCATCGAGGCAGTCCGTGGTTGGGCATTCGTAACACCACCCGACCCAATCAACTCAACTGATGAAGTTTCTACATTTCATCTATTGATTCGCCATCCAAAATAAAACGAGCAAAGCTTCAGAGTGTTAGGATATTCATCCAATGTCCTAAGAGAATTATTTTTATAAGTCTAATTCTATTGGTCAGTTCCTATTGGTCGTCCTAACTATCAATGTCACATACTTCAAATGTTGTTTCCTATTGGTGGTTCTATCTATATCACATGCCTCAATGTAATTCGACCGAACTGTATAAATATGCATTATCTGTAGCGTTTTATGACGCGGATCCGTATATTCTTCTGAACTCGGACCTCGTACTTTCTGGATGCTTATAGAATACAGGTTCTTCTACTTCATATAAAATCTTCTACTTCTTCTATTCAATTGGGGTTTGGGATGCTCGTGTCAATTGACACCGTGAAGTTGCATGCGTAAACTTAATGAAGAAGATTAGAGTTCAAAGAAACTATTCAAGAAGTATAATCAAAATGAAGCAACTTTAACAAGAGAAAGATAGAAGTGATGAAGGAATTCAGTAGATTAGCATTTTGGGGAGAACATAAAGAATGGATGCACCTGCATCATTGCAAACAATTTTAAGCCAGAACGTTCAAGGTCTCTTCTAACCATAGATTATTATTATTATTTGTTAGGATATTCACCAAATATCCTAAGAGTACTATTTTTAGAAGTATAATCCTATTGGTCAAAATTATGGTCGTTTTAACTGTCAAAGTCAAATATTTCAGTGTTGTCGCTGATTGGTCATCCGGACTGTCAATGTCATTTCAAATGTTACTTCCTATTGGTCGTCGTTCTAAACTGTCAATGCCACAGACTTTGATGCTCTTTCCTATTCGACCTAAATGTATAAATACACACTATCTGTAAGCCTTCATGATTCCGTTTCTTCCTGCCTACCTCTCTTCTGTACTCGACCCAATAAACAACTCCATCCAACGGTGTTGCGTTCTGATCTACATAGGAGATTCGGAAATAGCATTTTGGGTCGTATTGGGATATTTGAATTTGACGTCGCTAGGACTGAATACGTAGCTATACGTAGCAGCATTATGACATTATTATTATTATCGTGCAGACCCCAACGCCAGGTAGTAAGTAGTTTAGCATTTGACAAAAACTTTTATCAACAACTTCATCTGCATCAAAACACAACCCAACACTATCTATCTTCAAATTATTTAAAAGTCTTTTTTTGAAACCATGAATTGATCAATGTTAGACCACCATTAGAAACCTGGAAGTACTGGACGTCCGTTTCGTCCTGTTATGGGACTCCTTAGCAGTGCACATCCACAACCCATGCACCCCGCACGACTCGAACCCAAGACCTTCGTTATTGTGCACGAACGCCTAACCATCGGACCACTAAACTAGCCGGCATCTAACGGTGTTAATGTCTGACGGAGTTACGCAACCTTATATACACTGTCTTCGGTAGTTACTGTCTACACCCGAACTTAACAATCATTGACAACAACCCCGTAATGCTATTTAAAGATCGGCAACATACATACATTATTATCCATTATTCTCTGTTTGTAGATTATAGTTTCGCAAAAAACAAATGACCTGGATTATACAAATTTTCATTAGATAAACAAAAAACAGATTTCCAGTATTCAATTCTACGTTATTTATTACACCATCACACACACTATCACATATACATATTTACATACAGGAATATCATGTGTACAAAAATGAATTCAATATAGAGTATATATCCTGATGTTATAAATGTAAAGCTGTCACAGGATTACGTATAAAATCTACTAAACATAATGATTGAGTTATACCGTTGGTTAATCTTAATTGAGCATTTCGCTTAATCATGATAGCTTGATGAAGTAAATTGTATGTGATTGTATAAGGTGATGACGAGGATGACGAGGATGACATCAGCGATTCCATCATGTTCATTGAATCATTTGTTTGCATAATTTTGTCTAATTCATCATTGACATTGTGTACACTATCTTGTTTAGAAATAGGTCGAAATAATGCATCATTATGTCGTTGTAGTAAAATTTCCAAACATACACAAGCAAGATCAAAATCACGATTTGTTTGAAATCTAGTCAATTTGATTAAAGAGAAGAAAATGTACAAAGAAATTAATATATTGCTTTAAAGTAGAGGAGAGAACACACAGTATTCAGGATCAAAGTTAATAGATATTAATCTACAGTTGGAATATACAACTTTTAAGAAGCTAACAGGAAATCAACAAGAAGACTACATTGCTGCACGCTGATTGGCTAATTTCCTATCCAATCAGCGCCTGATCGATTCATGGAGAACAGGGTAGAAAGTTCTGGTGTTGTGAGCTGCATGCTGATTGGCTAAATCTAATCCAGTCGATCATGTGAATTACAATCCAGAAGCTTCTCATGTAAATGATATAAATAGACTAACGTTGTATCTATTTTTGCCTTCGCCTTCGCCATCACCTTTGGCTTCTTATTTCCATTTAACCTTGTTATTTGGAATATAATCTTTTCCTATTCAACCGTGTTTTTGATTTTTTGGAACTTGTCCAGTGTATGCTGTGGTCAGAGAATACTAAGCAATAGGATTTAGCTGGGAATTATTTAAGCAAGCATTACAACACTAACCCTTATAACTGACATTCAAGTGCAGCAGGAATAGGCTTTTAGAACACGCAGAAGAGCTATTGAACAAATCACCTGATTGAATCCACTGGACATTAAGTCAGCTATACAAACCGTTCTGAAGATATTGTTGCATTAAATACAGAAATCAGCAAAGCTATCAAGAATATATCAAGAGAGTGTGACAGAGCATCAGAACCAAACACACCATACCACCTGAAGCACTACAATCATAGGAAGGGGAAAAAACTGCAAAAATACTTTGCATTTACTTCGTAAAGATTTAGTAGGAAGAGAAACAAATCATAGTACCGTAAGGAAATCCTGGTGAGAACTACAGAGGCATTACTACATACCAGCCAACTCTCTCTTGACTATGGAAAAAGCATTCGACAGAATACACAGAAACAGCTTGTCGAATCATTAGCGTATGGAACTCCAATGACGGACATGAAGGACACCTTACAGCCGCGTTCCAAGTGAAGACCGGTGTCTGAAAAGAATCTTTATTCTCATCCTTCTTCTTGCTGCTAACTACTGACCGGATGATAGAGAACCCATATCTCAGGAAAGGCATGGAGTATAGTGGACACAGCTAGATGATCTGCATTGCGGAGATGACAGCCCTTCAATCGGATACACGAAGATAAACGCAAACGAGATATTATTCAGTGTGGTAGCAGGAATATAGCAGACCAAAATGACCAGTTAAGAACAAAGCCAATCACTGAGTATCAAGAGCAACGGGAACAAGCGATATAAGCACCGAATACAATGAATGTCTTGGAATTTGCGGACGAGAGCCGTTATCATACAAACAGCAGTAGGTAGGGGCAAAAATAACAGTTGGTTTCAACATTCCCATCAAGAAATGAAAGATCCTGAAACACAACACAGTGAACATCAAATAAATCACACTTGATGGCGAATCTTTAAAAGAAATAGGAGCCTTTATTTAGCCAGGCAGAGACATTGATAAACAAGGAGGGTTTGATGCAGATCTGAAGATACGAATTGCTCAGCCAAGGGTAACAATACTGCAATATGAAACTCAAGACAACTAACTGTCACCCAAAAACAAATTAAGCATTTTCTGTACAAACGTCAAAGTAGTTAGATTGTACGGACGTGAAATTCGGACAACTATCACAACCATCGTAAAATAGGTAGAGGTGTTTATGAACAGATGTCTACTCCAGGTTATCTAGATTCACTAATCACGGACCATCAGCAGCGACATGCTTAACATATGTTCTAACCACCAAGTCCACGAAAATTCACAACATTTCCAACCAGTGAGGCACTCCATACATAACATCACGATAAATCACTTGATCGTTTCACGGTACAACGCCAATGCTTTAAGGACAACCGTAGCCAAACTCATCCACTCCACGAATATCTTCCACTTCCTTAAATTAGGTGACAAACAACAATCTCGACCACAGCTGCTACCTGGACGTGGTGGTCCAACTTGCCTATCGTCATGACCCAACCGAGCTATACTGGCTGGAACATATGTTCCTGAAGGTTCTACCATGCCAGTCAGGTCGATTGGAGAACGACCAGACTAAAAGCAGATACTCAAGGTCTGAGGAGGAAGTCGTACTGCTGACTGCAGAGGAGTGTGACAGCAGTAAGGTGTTTCCCTCGGACAACCAGCATCTGCAGCAATACTGAATTCTCACAAGGAAGAAGGGTTTAAAAAAGGTCGACCATAAAAATGTCGCACCCCACCCTACCTCACGGATTTCCGTCTCCTTGGGTAAGGGTGCCCACTGAAGGCTCTCAAGAGCGGAGCTAATACTCAACAAACCTTTAATAAAAAGGCCGTGCGTGACAGGCCTCAAGCAGTTGTCCCTTGGACTCTGCCGTCATGCACCCAGGTCTCTAAGACCAACACTAATCTATCCTTCTTTTCAGGTTCCTCAAGAAACAACCTTCCACGGTGTGGGTAGCCAGGAAGTGACAACCGCCCTCATACCTGTAACAGCAAACAAGACCAAATTGGTCGAAATCAAATCCTTCCTAAACCCTCTAGTACGTCTCTTAATCTGACAAACAACAATAGAATAGACATTTACTTACCGATTAATTATATAACGAAGAAATCCATGTAGTTTTAAATAGGAATCATCGTTAGGAGGGATTATTTCATCTTCCAGCGATGATGATGATGATGGAATAAGTAGACGAATTTCCAAATCTAATCCAGTTGCACCAATTGATTTTAAAGCACGAGAAATTTGATCAACTAAAGAATGATTAAAGGGAACAATGCAAATATTTATGCTGTGTGTGCATGTGTGTATGTGTTGATAGATAAAATCCTCAGTTGACAGCTACATGAATGTATGATGACAAACTTATTTGCTATCACGTGGAGCATGTTGTATTAGTTGCATAAAACAAGCACTATCTTCTTCATCGAATTCTGTGCATAGTGTATGCGGGGCGTACGTTTGACCTTTGGTCATTAAATATAAGTTCTTCAAAATCTACTGAGGAGTCCCAAACCAGGACGAAACGGCAGTCAAGTTATTCCAGGTTTCTAATGGTGGTCTAACATTGATCGATTCATAGTTTCAAAAAATGTGTAACTTAACAATCTTCACAACAACCCCGTAATGAAAATTACTTGTGCTCACTAGTGACTAGCTTTGTGAGGAATATTCTCCGAGTTCTAGTAATGAGAAGACGTGACCAGTGAAGTTCAACCTGTTCGGGTGTAGACAGTAACTACTACCGAAGACTGTGTATAAGGTTGCGCAACTCCGTGAATTGATCAAGTTAGACATTAACACCGTTAGATACCGGCTCAGTGGTCCGATGGTTAGGCGTTCGCCTACAATACCGAAGGTCCTGGGTTCGAATCCTGCGAGGTGCAGGAGTCGTGGATGAGCTCTGCTGATGAATAGTCCCATACCAGAACTTGATGTCCGTCCAGTGCTTCCAGGTTTCTAATGGTGGTCTAACATTGATCGGTTCATGGTTTCAAATAAAATCTACAGAGTCAAACAGACTGATCGGAGAGTTGTTGATATATTCTTCGAATCTTTGAAACTTTTATTATAATTATTCTTCAGCATTACTACGTCATACAATTCGTTGATCACCTTCCTATATATTCATCGAAGAGACAATTTATCTTCGACGCATTTGGTATTTATTTATCAGTCACAAAAAATAAAACGTCGCTTAATTTTGACACCTGAAATTGTGTAATCATATTTGTTGGGATTCGCGAGACGAAAGTCACCAATGGTTATAAAAGAGACCTTGAACAAGATGGCTCAAAGCCGTTTGCGATGGCGCAAGTGTATGCACACACGTTGTATTCTCTTAAATCCTAATCTCCTGGATTCGTCAACACCTCCATTACTTTTGTCTTTCTAAACTTATCTCACTGAATTATACTTCTTGAATAATATCTTCAAATCTTAATCTTCTCCATTACCAGTAATACTTCTACTATATCTACCACTATGGGATTTGAATTGACAATTGCGTCTCTATGTTCTAATGTGGTATGGCAATCTGAACTGCTGTTAAAGAGATCAATTATGTTACACATTTGAAATCATCAATCAATCAATCAATCATTGTTAGACCACCATTAGCAGAAACGTGGAAGCACTGGACAGCCGTTTCGTCTTGGTATAGGGGACTCATCAGCAGGAGTGGTGTGGATACCCACTAGCCACTGATGAGTCCCCCATACCAGGGCGAAACGGCCGCCCATTGCTTCCAAGTTCTTAATGGTGATCTAACAATGTTTGATTCATAATTTAAATTATATGCCAATGTATTTTAAATACGACTTGTACCGATAAAGTAAATGGATCTAGTCGAAAAAACAAACGATGAAAAATATTTTCCCCACTGAATAATTATGAGCTAATTTGATGTTGATATGATTAGTACTCCACAGTTCTACGAAAAATACAACATTATTACACTCCATACATGTGGATAGTCAACAAATGAGTATATATGGGTGGGGGAGAATTACGACTGATGGTACTTGTAAAGGGAATGATCATTTGATTATTTCTACTTCAGGTCTTAGAGACATTCGTTTGGATTGGTGAGAGAACACGGAAAAAGTGTGGCTTTCAACAGACTACAGAATAGTAGTATTGTTAGGGTATTCATCTAATATCCTAAAAGAATTATTATTGGTCAAATCCTATTGGTCGATTTCTATTAGTCAAAATTATGGTCGTTTTAACTAACAAAGTCAAATACTTCGATGTTGTCTCTTATTGGTCATCCGGACTGTCAATGTCATTTCAAATGTTACTTCCTATTGGTCGTCCTAAACTGTCAATGTCACAGAATTCGATAATGTTTTCTATTCGACCAAAATGTATGAATACGCACTATGTGTAACGTTTTATGACCACGACCCGGATCCCTTGTCCGGGATCCTGATACTCTTCTGGATTCGGACCTCGTACTTTCTGGATGCTTGTAGAATAAAGGTTCTACTTCATATCAAGTCTTCTTATTTTTACTCATTATGAGGGGGCTGGGATAATTGGATTTGAGTAGTATGTCGTGTCACCGGATTCTCGATCCTCGCTCTCGTTTACTACTAAGGTAAACTCGTATTAGTTCAAGTATATCGAGTTGACGTGCTTACGTGGAGGCGTAACAAGTATTAGGAGAAAGGAAGCAGTTATACACTCCCTTAAAAGAAAAAAAAAGTGCTTTAGGGAATGTTAAAAAAAGGGAAAAAGTAACAACTTTTCAATAGCACACACTTACATTCATTATTGGATTTTGCTTGAATAAGTTTCATAGACAAACCATGTATTGGTTCAATAGCATACTCTAAATCTTTCTCTAATAAACCACGTCGTTTACGGTTTAGTTTTTTATTAATATTATTGGGCTGTTGTTGTGGTTGTGGTTGCATTGATAGTCCATGATCATCATCATGAATATCGTCATTATCAGTCCGTAGTATTAAGCCTTGATTAGTTTCAATAACTGGTAGAAAGAACGGTAGATTCTTGGCATTAACTCCATCGGAATGAATATGAGCAATAGGATTATTATTAGTTAAAAACTTTCCAGCTTGACGATTACGTTGTCGAATAAGATCCAAATTTAATAATGTTGTAAAATATGTGGATGGAATACCCGAAAGTGTTAATAGATGACCATGTAGTTGTTGAGGAGATATGTAACTGGAAAATATTGACATGAATGATTTACATGAACACACACACACATACACACAAAGTTAAAGATAAGGGAAATGTATCTATAAGCAAATATTGTTTTACATTTTGAAATCATCAGTCAATTATTGTTAGACCACCATTAGAAACCTGGTAGCACTGGATGGCCATCAAGGCCTGGTATGGGATTCATCAGGACTGAGCATCCACAACTCCTGTATATCACAGGACTTGAACCAAGGACATACGGTTTTACGCGCGAACGCCTAAACTCCTGACCACTGGGCCGGCATCCAAAGGTGTTAATAACTAACTCTGATCAATTGGGGGAATTTCGCGTGATCGCACTCACTTGTCTTCGGTAGCTATTGCCTACACCCGATAGGGTTGAATTCCACTGGTCAAGTCTTCTCATTACTAGAACTCCGAGAATTTCCTCACGAAGTCAGTCAATGGTGAGCAGATTGTACGATTTGTTTGAATTAATTTCCTACAATATTATACTTAATTTTCGACAGCTGATGACTGTTCCGTATTATTTACAGTTCGTTGTGAAATGCAGATAAACAAGGCTTAATTAGCTTTTGCCAACTTACGTCACTTATAGCGTAGAAGAGATATCTGTCTGCTAACCAAAGGACGGACGTTACAAAACGCACGCACAAGAGCAGTGGCCCCCGTTCGGGCACTTATGAAAGTCAACTCGATCCTTCCGACCAGTTCACTACCCACAATCCCCAATCGGTAAGGGCGGCAAGGCGGGCTTTCCCAGCTAGGCCTTACATCCCGAAACGGATGACCGAGCCACTCGGCACTGCACTAACCAGTAGCCGTTCCAACCGTCTGGCCTCCAACTGCCTTGCGTTGATACAACCGATCGGAGCACCCGAACCCCATATGAAACTAAAGATCGAGTTTGTCCCACAAGGTCAGCCGGAACGTACCATGGGGAAGATGTCATGGACTCAACCAAGCACAAGCACTGCCAAGAAGGGTTAACCCCACTACATAAGTGGGCAGACATCATTGGCGTCCAGTACCCTTTCAGCACTGGATCACATAACCCAACTCGAGACCCTTGTTTGAGGGGCCTCGACGCCAGCTGACACAATATACCTAGATGCAGAGTGTTTGGGACAACCACATAGGGTCGGCGTCAATAGTCCAGGATCTTTACGGCTGCTTCACCAAACAAATCGTCTAGGGTCGCCTTCAAGAAACCTGAAAAGCTATATCCCATTATTTCAAATTTACCTACACACAGAGGACGGGTTTCATACTTAAAGACATTCGGTCTTAATCCCCCAGAGTGGCAAAACCGCATCCACGGCCTTACAACAATGATCACGTGCTATTATTCTGGGTCATGCTAGGCACAGCATCCTACGCGTTCGAAACAGCTTTTAGCCGCAGCGCTGTAAACAACACCACATTGCCTGGCAGGACCACGAACAGGTAGCCGCCACCACAACTCCCAAAAAGTTCCATTTATCCAAGTTACCTAATATACCCATTCAATTAGATGACGAGGCATTTGGCTACCTTAAGAGTGTCATAGTTATTAAAATAACAAGAAAAAATTTCTTCATAAAGACAGAAATAAATAACCATTGAAGACTTACACATGTTCTCCATTCTCTTCCAAGGAGGATACATTATCTGTGTGCTCATTATTATTCACATATTTATTAATATCTGTACTCAAACCAAGTTCGTCCATATCACATGTGTTTTGAGTTGTCAATATTCTTCAAAAGATTTACAGAAAACAAAATTAAGAAAAATTTATACGAACATTGATCGATTCATGGTTTCAAAAAATGTGTAACTTAACAATCTTCACAACAACCCCCTAATGCAAATTACCTGTGCTTACTAGTGACTAGCTTCTTCGTGAGGAATATTCTCCGAGTTCTAGTAATGAGAAGACGTGACCAGTGAAGTTCAACCTGTTCGGGTGTAGACAGTAACTACTACCGAAGACTGTGTATAAGGTTGCGCACCTCCGTGAATTGATCAAGTTAGACATTAACACCACTAGATGCCGGCCAGTTCAGTGGTCCGATGCTTAGGCGTTCGCCCACAACACCAAAGGTCCTGGATTCGAATCCTGCAGGGTGCAGGAGTCGTGGATGCGCACTGCTGATGACTAGTCCCATACCAGGATGAAACGGCCGTCCAGTACTTCCAGGTTTCTAATGGTGGTCTAACATTGATTGATTGATGGTTTCAAAAACATGTAATTATTCACATACAAAAATCATACAAATGATTTAATGACATAAGGTAGTGTTAGTTGTTGGGGACGTTAGATTCCCAGAACTAACTTGGTTGATAAAGGTCCTAATTTTTGATTTTTTATGCTTTCGAGCATGGGCTGATCAGTTGACCTTGAGACTTCATTTCCCACCCCGGAAAATCCTTGACCGTCATTGGTTCATGTATTATTACTTTAGTACGCTATTTTTATGGCTCTCTCAAGGACATTTCTATCATGTATAATAAACAAGCTCGATTAGTGTGCTTGAGGACCTCATATTTTCTGATTGCTTGTACAATACGCTTTCTATGCCATATATCAAGACTTCTCTGTCTATTCAGTGGGGCTTTGGACGCTCGGGTTAGAGTAGCCAGTCGTGTCACTAGATCATTTGTCTTCGCTCTCGTTTACCGACTTAGGTGAACTCGTAATAGTTCAATCATATCAAGTGACGAACCATCCCAACATTAGGTGACAAACAACAATCCCGACCGTAGCTGCTACCTTGACGTGGTGGTCGGGATATCCTGTCGTAATGACCCAACCGAACTATATTGGCAGGAACATATGTTCTTGTAGGTCCTACAATGCCTGATAGGTCGATTAGAGAACGATGAGACTAACATTAGCTACTCAGAGTCGTACTTCTGACTGTAGAGAGGTGTGACATCAGTAAGATGTTTCCCTCGGACAACCACCATCTACAGCGATCCTGCCTCCGGACAAGAAAGAATGGGTTAGAAAAGGTCGACCCTGAAAATGTCAAACCTCACCTTACTTCCGTCTCTAGAGGTAAAGAAGCCTTTTAAACAAGAATAGAGCTAACACTTTAAATACTACCCATAAAAAGGTCATGCGTGACTAGCCTCAAGCAGTTATTCCTTGAACTCTGCAGCCACACTCCCTAGTCTCTAAGATATTCACAACTGATTGACGTATGAAGTTCTAGGTTGTAACTGACTAACTAACTAACTAACTGACTGATTGACCCCAGTAGTAACGATAATTCAATCAAAACTAAGAATACATCGACGTGTATTCATAATTAATCTCTGATTTCACAACAATGATAAAACCAAACAAATAGACCTTTTTTGAATACAACTCACCTATTTGGTAATGATACTGCTGGTTGATTTTCACATGGAATAAAATCAATCGGCAATGGTTGAAGATGTAAATGTTTATAAGTTGCACGATTATCCCATAAATAAATACCAAGACAATTTGCATGTGTTGTACATAAAAATTCATTTGCTTTAGATAATGCTATTGAAGTAATAGGTAATTCTACACGAAAACAATCTATTAATCTGTGAAATAATAATAATAATAATAATAGGGTATATTCAAGGGTAAGCAATTGGGTAATACAATCAAAATAAAATTAGTATAAGTATAAAAAAACACTGAATTCCTTTTTTTTGTCATGAGATGCTAAAAGAATAGTTGTACATCGGGATGAGGATGATTCTCAGAGGGTTTTTTCTTCTGTTCTCTGATCTGATTGGTTGGTAGGTTTAATTGTAAAAAAGGTTTCGTTGTCTTATTGACAACATCATGAACAAACACTTCAATAAAATATGCATGATTGGATTTTTCCAGATCAGTTAGTTAGTCAGTCAGTAACAACGTAGAACTTCGTACGTACGTACGCACATCAGTTCAGGTTGTTATACCATATTAACACAGAGATGCAATTTTTAATTGAAATCTCATAGTTGTATAGATAGTAGGAGTATCAGCGGTAGTGGAGAAGATTAGGGTTCGAAGAAATTATTCAAGAAGTATAATCAAGTGAAATAAACTTAAAAAGAAAAAGATAAAGGTGATGAGGAATTCAGAAGATTAGGATTTCAGAGAACACAAAGAGTGAATGCACCTACGCCACTGCAAACGGTTTTGAGTCATGTCGTTCAGGGTCTCTAACCATCGATTATTTTCGTCTCGCAGACTCCAACCAGGTAGTGGACAACTACCGACATGACGCTGTCCACTTGTCAGTGAATTCATGGATTTGTGACATGTTTTGGTTTGGCCACTCCTGGCCTTTCTTCCAACCTACTCCTACACCAAAAAACATAGCTCGACGAGGCAGTCGGTGGCTGGGCATACGTAACACATGTCCCAACCACCTCAACTGATGAAGTTTCATTACTTCATCTATTGACCTTCCATCCTTACCTAGTAACCGTTTCCTAACGGCAGCATTACCTATTCGGCTGTCCCATGGTACTCGAGCAATGCTTTGAAGACACCTATGATCGAAAACCAGTAACCTACAAATATCTTCTTCTATGACCGGCCATGTTTCACAGCCACAAAGTAGGACGGAGAGAACTACTGCACAGTACACTCATTTGGTTAGCAAACGGATATCTCGCCTTCGCCATAGGTCGCTGAGTCGAATTCTGAGTTAACACAACAAGCAATTAATCAGCTTATGGAGAAATTCTATAATCACTTATGCCTTAACTGAAGTGTTTGTTTCGCATCAATGCGATAATGAAAGTTGCACGATTAAAGCAACCAACCAACCAGGCCAGAAAACAGAACACCAGTTTTTTTTGGGTGGGGGACTTATTGACTGGTTTAAGCTATGAGCAATCAATCTAAACGTGCACTATTTTTTTACGACTCAACTGAGGAAGAATAACTAAATGAACCTTAGCGATATTCAAGTGGTCAATAAAACATACCAACCTAATGAGTAGGCAGTAAAAGCTAAGTGAATGAAAGCAAATCAGTTAGTGAGAATCCCCCATGAATCCTATTTACACTGATATGAAACGAATAACCGGTAACTAATAGGTTTAATGTAAACGTTGACTGGAATAAATATGGAATGAGAGGAACTTATTAGTTGATATGCTCGAACTATTACGAGTTCAACTTAATCGGTAAATGGAACAAAGATCAATGATTCAGTGACACGATAGGCTATTCTAAACCAATCGTCCCACGCCTCACTAACTAAAAGTCTTGATAAGACGTAAAGAAATGTTTTCCACAGGCACCTAGAAAGTACGAAGTCAACAAACACAAAAATCAAGCTTATTTATACAAGGATAGAGACGACCTTGGTGAGAGCTACAAAACAGCGTACTAAACAATGACGTTCAAGGATTCCCAAGCGGGAAATGCAAGCTGAAGGCAAAAATGAGTGTCTTTGCAGTGCAAACATAAAATTACAAAATTAGGACTTTCTCCAAACGATATATGGGGACCTAACAACCCCAACATTAGCAATCAAATAAAAACGATTTGAGTTGTCACTGGGGGACCAGATGTTTGACCATTGGAGTTCATGGTAAACTGATTGCTTATGACACTGGGTAGTATCAGTCAGTCAGATGCAACGTAGAACTTCGTACGCAAGTACATCAGTTCATGTTGCCATATCACATCAACACAGAGATACAATTGTCAATTCAAATCCAATAGTAGAAGAGGTAGTAAGGGAATTAGAAGTAATCGAACAGGTTAGGATTAGAAGATACTATTCAAGAAGTAGGATTCAGTGAGAAAAGTTTAGAAAGTCAAAACTAGAGACGTTGAAGAATCCAGAAGATTAGGATTTGAGAGAACACAATGAATGCATGCACCTGCGCCATTGCAAACGATTTTGAGCCATGTCATTCAGGGTCTCTAACCACTGGTGACTTTCGTCCCGCGGACACCAACCAGGTAGTCTAAGTCTACCAACATGACTCAGTCCACTTGTCAAAATAACTTCATGGATTTGTGCTATGTTTTGGTCTGGCCGCCCATAGCTTTCGTCCAACCTACTCCTACACCACAAAACATAGCTCGTCGAGGCGGTCGGTGGTTAGGTATTCGTAACACATGTCCCAACCACCTCAACTGATGAAGTTTCACCACTTCATCTATTGATCTGCCATTCTTATCTAGCACCCGTTTCCTAATAACAGCATTGCATACTCGGGTTTCCCATGATATACGAGCAATGCTTCGAAGACACCTATGATCGAAAACCATTAACCGACGAAAATCTTTTACTCTCACTGGCCATGTTTCACAGCCATAAAGTAAGACGGAGCGAACTACTGCGCAGTACACTCGTCCTTTAGTCAGCAAACGGATATCTCGCCTACACTGGGTGGTATGGCTATATAAGTCAATTTTTTCACGTAATTAATTCTTGTTCTTCACTGTGAATTTTTTGATCAAATCAGTGATTTATTTTTGGTTAATCGTATATTGAACGAGTGTGAAAAAGATTATTTAGCTACATTTAAAAAAACAAGAATACACATTCACACTCAGATGATTTTGAGATGGTGAAGATTTGTAGCTCACTTCACTTCAGCTATCTGTAGTTTGTGCTGATGATGTTGTTCAGTAGAAGAACAATGAAAGCTCTACAACTAAAACACCCAGCTCAGAGAACCAAACACCACCACCACCACACATTCACATGACTGTGATTCATGTTACGTTGTCATTTAAACTCATACTAATGTGCGAGCTACTTATAAGTAGTATATGACGTGAGTGTAAACGTAATGTCTGGCAGCAGAAGATGGGGGAAGATCAAGAAAGGAAGAGTTAGAACACAATGCGATTTGTATGAAACGCATGTGAATAGTGACAATGGATTGATGTTGTTTGCAACAGGAACAGTCCAGTTCGATATGATGAACTGATATTTTGCATATTAACAATTTACGATATGGTTTTCCTATTTTACTGAGTAACTCTGTTATCTTCGTTAAATACAATCCGGTTGCCCCACCTGTGTTCTCGTTCAATACAATACAAATGAGTGTATGAGTGTAAGTAATTAAGTAAATAAGACCTGAAAATAATTCTTCAGAGTTGGAAATCAAATATCCAGACCGTTTTACATCAATGATTAGTATTAGTGTTACAAAGGTTTATGTATATACAACTGAATGCATAAACAGAGAAAATATCAGAAATATACAGTTTACTTACTTACTATCTACTATATCCCATGTTTTTATTAAGGGATCACCATGATGTGCTGAGACTAACCATCGACCGTCAAATGAAATATCCTGACAATGAATTAAATAAGAGGAATAACATTATTATTATTAAGCGATACAAGAATGAATTGAATAGTGTAACAAACATGCTCACATGTGGTAGATAACCTTGTTAGATTTCATAGGGCAAATTACCCAATGAAATCGACTAGGCTTTTGTTACGCCTGCACGTGAACACGTCATTTTTATATGTTTGAACTATTACGAGTTTACCTAGTCGGGAAACGAGAGCGAGGATCGAGGATCCGGCGACACGACACGCTACACTAATCCCAGTGTCCCAACCCCCATATTGAGTGAAAATAAGAAGACTTGATTTGAAGCAGAACCTGTATTCTACAAGCACTCAGAAAGTACGAGGTCCGAGTCCAGAAGAGAATCAAGATCTCGGACTAAGGATCCGGGACCGGGTCCTGGTCATAAAACGTTACAGATGATGCGTATTTATACATTTAGGTTGAATAGGAAACATCATCGAAGTCTGTGACATTGACAGTTAGGACGGCCAATAGGAAGCAACATTTGAAGTGACATTGATAGTCAGAAAAACCAATAAGAAACAACATTGGAGTACGTGACATTAATATCTAGGACGACCATAAAATTGACGGGTAGGAATTAACCATTAGGAATAGACCAATAATTCTCGTAGGATATTGGATGTATATCCTAACAGCTTTATTATAAGTTCAGCATGATGTTAACACTTAAAGGTGTTGAAGGAATATTGTTCTAACCCAACTGTTCACTTTTGACCCAGAAGCTTTAACTTTAGGTAGACATTGATGTTGCCTGAAACAGCTTAGATCGGCATCTGAACTATTGATAGAGAGTGCAGAAGTTGAGCGTGTTGACCACATCACTGATCTCGGCAGTTTCATCAATGCTGATGGCCTGGTGACTGACGAAATCTCAACACGCATACAAAAGGTTCGATCGGCTTTTGCCAACTAGCGTCATGTATGGCGTAGGCGCAGGTGCCTTCATTCTTTGTGTTCTCTCGAATCCTAACCTTCAGAGTTCCTCTTTTAAGTTTATTTCACTTGATCATACTTCTTGAATAATATCATTAAATCCTAATCTTTTCGATTACTGCTAATACTTCTACTACCTCCAATACTATAGGATTTGAAGTGACAATTGCATTTCTGTGCTAATGTGGTATGGCAACTTTAACTGATGTACATACGTACGAAGTTCTAAGTTGTAACTAACTGACTGATTGACATTTTTATTCAGTACAATCAAGTTTTAAATAATTATTCGTCAGTTGATAGTTTATGTCATACTGATTTTCATAGAGTAATTAGAACCAAAATACTCCAGTATTGTTAATTTCGTTTACATTCTTTGTCCACATCGTCCCAATTAATATAGCAATTCCCTTTTGTGTATTACTCTATACTACTTATTATTATTATTCAGTAACGTGTTTCGTTTCTGATAATTTTCGAGCATATGAAATCTGTTATGTAATCAATCATTCTTGAATATTTACATAAGCTAATCGATTTCATTGTATTTATTATTGCGGTTGTATCCTCTTGAGGCCTGGAATATAGAGATTTTCACTTCTAACATATTGAATGAATGTTTGTTTCAACTGAAAACACTTTCCATATCCTACTGCTGTTCTGTATTCTCATCGTAATATTGTCTGCCATCGCGATTTCCACAGCCATATTGTCACATAGCTCTGTCAATTTACATTGAGAAGTACTTCCCTTTGATTGCATACACACACTCGGTATACACCACAGACATATGATGAGTTGAGTGTTTGTGTAATGTATTTCATATCATTTCGTTATCATAGCAGCTAACTCGTTTTATAGATTAATCTTACGTGTTTTGATTTACTGAATCTAAGTACGTCCCTCGATTGTGTGATTGAATTTTCCATGAGACAATAACAAATATAACAAAACAAGTCAGACCAAGCACATTCGTTAGCAAACGTTTTGGTAATTATTATCTCCTTAAAAGTTACTCGATTTAAATTTACGATTTGAGAACTGTTGGGGGGATGTTAGATCCCCAGAACTCGCTGCTTGATAAATAAATATCATTATTCTGGATTTATTTCATGGACTGATCAGTTGACCTTGAGATCACATTTCCCACTAGAAAAATCTTTGGCTGTGATTGATTACTGTGTCATTTTAGTGTGCTATTTTTGTGACTCTCCCAAGAATGTCTCTATAGAGTATAAAAATAAACGCAATTTGAGTGCTTGGAATAATTGTGTGCTTGCTGGGTGTTTGTAGAATACAATTTCTACGCTATGCCAAGACTTCTCGCTGGTACAATTGGGACAATCGGATCACAGAGTAGCCTACCTGGACACTGGTTCATTGTTTTGTTCTCGTTATTCGGATTAAGGTGAACTTGTAATAGTAGAGACGAGTACAACAAGGAACAGAATGCAGATGTTTTTAAAAAATGAACAAAACTCTTGTTTACCATATCAACACACAGCTGGACTTCAGCATTGACAAATGTTCGAATAATTTTTCTATGTACAATATCAATCAAAATGATCATTGCATTCGATAAAGCGATAGCTAATACATCACTATAATAAAGAGATAAATATATTTAGATAGATAAAAAAAAAATTTGGAATTTTCTTTTAAATCTTATGTGAAATTGTCTTTTTATGCGGGCTGTACATTAAGTATGAAAAAAAATGAAAGAAAGATAGTTTACCACCGATGTCCAATCTCTCCATTCTCGTTTAATTTTATCATAGACATGCTCCTAGAAATAACCTTATCCTCGTCTGAATTTTCTGGAGTAGACCTTTTACCAGGTGGCTCGCTTATTGACTTAGAATATGCCGATGACATAGTCCTATTTGGTGAAGACGCTGACAAGGTGCAGAGTCTTCTGACCACCCTAAGCAACAATACAAGCATGTGATAGGGAGTGAAGTAGTCGAGCGTGTTGACCGCTTCAATTATCTTGAAAGTCTCATTAGTGCTGATGGACTGGTGACTGACGAAATCTCAGCACGGATATAGAAAGCTCGATTAGCTTTTGCCAACCTGCGTCATTTATGGCGTAGGAGAGATATCCGTTTTCTGACTAAAGGACTAGTGTACTGTGCAGTAGTTCGCTCCGTTTTACTTTATGGCTGTGAAACATGGTCGGTCATAGAAGAAGATATTCGTAGGTTACTAGTCTTCGATCATAGATGTCTTCGAAGCATTGCTCGTATATCCTGGGACAACCGAGTAAGCAATGCTGTCCTCAGGAAACGTTTACTAGGTAAGGATGGCAGGACAATAGATGAAGTAATGAAAATTCATCAGTTGAGGTGGTTGGGATATGTATGCCTAACGAGTTTTATGAACTTCAAAAGCAAAAGATGAATGAACGCTAAGAGCATTTGATCAAGGACAATTACGAGGACTTGCTCGTGTAACGTAACAACCGAGCGGATCTTGCTGAGGTAAAACGGGCTAACATAAATTTATCTCAGCCTAATTTACCAAATTAGATCAGCATTGAAAAGGGAAGCTAATCAATTCTATAGAGCAAATACACATTATTTATGGTACGCAAAAAATGAATTCGATGATTAAAAAGTAAGTGATGTGGAACTACAAAATAGAGTGTAAATAAAACCACATCCCCGTAAGAGATTGAACCATGTTGCATAACTCAACCACTGAGTGCAGTCATCGCAAAGACTAATCAGACTGTCTGCGCTTATCAATTTTAGCCCGATTTAAGAGTCAATAACTTCATAGTCTGAAGTGACATTTTGGTAGGGCAACCCATAATTTCCTTCCAAACTATTTCCGTAGAGGATTTCATGAATGACCGAAAAGTCATGTAGGATGTAGGTTCAGGTGGTTCTCCTTTTATTGTGTCTGTTAAGTACAACATGTCCGATGGCTGGTAGCTTGTGAGTGTCATACTATCTGACACTAAGGTTGTAAGCAATTGACTAATAACGTTGTGTGTGTGCGTATGTGCCTTCCAAGCCTCTATTTCACGCACTACCTAACATGGTCAAATAGTCACCAGACCCCACTCTACCTACCTATCTGTCATGCTAGTCTGTCTGTATTTTCGGACGACCACAAGAGACCCAATCTTGAATTCTGGGAGTCATCAATATAGATACCGTTTCTTACAAGTAGTCAGTTTCAGTAAAAATCAGGTAGTACATTGTTCTTAATCTATCATACATATATAGATAGTCTTCCGTTGAAGCAGTGCATTGAATGTCAACTGTTGTACAAACAAAAAAGTTGAACAGTGTTTACAGGAGTGTCCATTCTACATCTTCGGTCTTTGTCACTCTCTAAACCTGATGGAATTATTTTTTTTTGAGAAGACTTTGGAAATCCATTTTTCTTAATTTATTGATTCCGGTTGATGATAACAGACGTCATCGCGGCTTTTACAATGGACAGTGGATCAAGCTGAATTCTTATACATTAAGGTAAGTAAAACATGTGTTACGTATGTTCAACAACCGTCTACCTTGACGCACAATGCTAACTTACACAAGAATTGATAGAATAAAAGCTAGGGATGGTCAATTACTGACAAATGAATTGAGCTTTATGTGTAGATGTGCAAAATAAGTGATCACGTGACCCGAGATAACAGTGATCAATTATTGGAAACCTTATTGTACTCTGTGAATTCATCTCTTATTTTCAAACCATATTGTCCAAATTTAATGGCAAGCATTTTAAGCAGAATGGAATAGTGGCTAGTAGTAGAATCCAAGATGTGCGTGCATCCCGTCCAATTCTGAACTCGTCGGTTAATTGTACCCGCATCCTAATGTTGATATTTACTCGAGGGCTTCAAAAGACCGATCGACTACAGTCCTAAGCATAAGTTAGAGGATTCAAACAACTAATAAAAATTAATTGAAACTCAGCTCATTGCACAAACCAGTAGCTAAAGTGGATAACGCGAAGGCGTCTAAAGCAAACAGTACTAACTTAGAGTCCCAAAGTGTACATCAACTCTAGGATGCAGTTACCTCCCAGCAGACTACTTCAGAATAGGATGAAACGCGCGTTTCGGATTCCACTGCTTGCCACTATCAATGAAAAAATTGAGTGTTTAGGCTAATGAACCCGATGACTGGAGCTTTGTAGCTTAAAAACTTTTAGTTCAAACAACATAAAAATGGAAGTATTATTACCTATCAGCATGAAATTTAACCAACAAAGAAGTTGACGGTAAATCAAGTTGTCCAAGTAATTTATGCTCATGAAAAGACCAGAAACGAATTTCACTACCACTAACAGTGATAGTAACACGATTGACATTGTTCACAGCCAAACCGACAATAGAACACGAATGAGCTGATTAATAAGGAATAATAAATAAAATAAATGATTGGAATTTTTTTTGTGAAAAAAAAGAGAAAAACAGTTGAATTTACTATTTGCATAAAACAAATATTTTGTTTCCCTGTTTATTACTTCCTGCTGTGAAGATTGATCGATCAATAGCAACGTAGAACTTCGTACATACGTACGTACATCAGTTCATGTTGCCATACCACATTACGACACACGGAGATGTAATTATCAATTCAAATCAAATAGTAGTAAAGGTAGTAGAGGTATTAACAGTAGTCGGAAAGGTTAGGATCGTAGCTGATACCTTGACGTGGTGGTCGGGCTTGACTATCGTCATGACCCAACAGAGCTATATTGGCTGGAACATATGTTTCTGCCGGTCCTACCATGCCAGGCAGGTCGATTGGAGAACGATGAGACCGACATCAGCTACTCAAGGTCTGAGGGCAAAGTCGTACTGCTGACTAACTGCAGAGGGGTGAGACAGCAGTAAAGTGTTTCGCTCGGACAATCAGCATCTTCGGCAATGCTGTCTTCTCACAAGGAAGAAGGGTTTAGAAAAGGTCGACCCTAAAAATGTCACACCTCACCTTACCTCATGGATTTCCGTCTCCGGCGGTAAGGGTGCCCACTAAGGGCTTTCAAGAGCGGAGATAATACTCAAAAAACCACTCATCAAAAGGCCGTGCGTGACCGGCCTCAAGCAGTTGTTCGTTGGGCTCTGCGGTCACGCACCCAGGTCTCTAAGACCAACACTAATCTATCTTCCTTTTCATACTCTTCAAGAAACAACCTTCCACAGTGTGGGCAGCCGGGAAGTGACAAGCACCCTCATACCTGTAACAGCACATGAGACCAAATTGGTCAAAATCCAATCCTTCCTACACAAGTAATTATTCACATATATATCACACACAATATAAGCATTGTTCAACAGTTATTTATGCGAAGTAACTATATTTCACAACAATAGAAAAAATCAACAAACCAGTAGGTGAACCGTATGAACCACGTTCTAAACCAGATTGCATATTAAACTTGAAAACATCACCATTGGAATAACCAATCAGGGCATAATTACCACAATTTGTCAAATATACACACTGTGAAAAAGAAAAGCAAATAAAATTATTTTCAAAACTGATTAGTGTTAGTGAGACATAGATGGAATTAAAGCATGACTGCGGTAGCTGCGCGCTGATTGGCTAATCTCCTATCCAATCAGCGCCTGATCGATTCTTGGAGAACAGGGTAGAAAATTCTCGTATTGTTAGCTGCGTGCTGATTGGTTAAATCTAATCCAGTCGATCACGTGCATTTCTATCCGGAAGCTTCTCATGTAAATGCTATAAAGAAACTAACGTTGTATCTATTTTTGCCTTTCGCCATCACCCTTGGCTTCTTATTTCCATTTAACCTTGCTATTTGGAATAAAATCTTTTCCTGTTCCACCGTGTTTTTGATTCTTTGGAACTCGTCCAGTGTATTGTGGTCAGAGAATACTAAGCAATAGGATTTAGCTGTGAATTATTTCAAGCTACCGTTACAACAGTTAGTTAAACTGATGGATTAGAATTTAAGAACACAAGTGAACAAAAAAAACAAAATAGGTCATACACACTTTTTATTTGATGGCAAGGCAGGTAGTAGTATTCGACTTCAACAACACAAGATATCGTGTTCAAGTGAACAAATTTAACCATGGAAATAGACTGAAATGTATTCACTTTGTTATACTTGTCAAATGGATTTGCTTAAATGCTATTACGAGTTCGCTTTAGTCAGGGTAAACGAGAGCGAAGACCAAATGATCCAAGGACACAATAGGCTACTACTACTCTAATCCAAGCATTCCAAGGCCCCACTGTGAGTAGATGAAGTAGTCTTGATATGGCGTAGAAAGTGTATTGTACAAGAACCCAGAAAATATGAGGTTCACAAGCACACACAACAGAGTTTATTTCTCCATGGTAGGAACTGTTAGGATATTCATCTAACATCCTAAGAGAATATTATTGGTGAATTTCTATTGGTTATTTCCTACTGGTCAATTTTATGGTCGTCCTAACTATGTATCATTCCATATGTTGTTTCCTATTGGTTGTCTTAACCGTCAATGTCACAGACTTCGATGCTACTTCCAATTCAACCTAAATGTATAAATACGCATTATCTGTAACGTTCTATGACCCGGACCCGGATCCTTAGTCCGGGATCCTGATTCTCTTCTGGACTTGGACCTCGTACTTTTTGAGTGTTTGTAGAATACACGTTCTACTTCATACCGAGTCTTCCTCTTTCACTCAATGGGGGTTGGGACACTGAAATTAGTGTAGCATGTCATGTCGCCGGATCCTCGATCCTCGCTCTCGTCTCCCGACTAAGGCAAACTCGTAATAGTCCAAGCATGTCAAATTGACGTGTTTACGTGCACGAAATAGCGTACTAAAACACGACATCAACCAATGACAGTCAAGGATTTCCCGGGTGGGAAATGTAATCTCAAGGTCAACTGATCAGCTCATGCTCGAAAACATAAAACCCAAAATTAGGATCTTTATCCAGTGAGTTCTAGAGATCTAACGTCCCCAACACACAGTTAATAAAGTGGTTTTTTAAATACATGACTAAACAAACGATTACTAACTCTATTATTGAATGAAAGCACATTATGGTTAGTATGAACAATGATGTCAGATGTCAGATGCAACGTAGAACTTCGTACGTAAGTACATCAGTTCATGTTGCCATACCACATCAGCACAGAGATGTAATTGTCAATTCAAATCCAATAGGAGTAGAGATAGTAAGGGAATTAGAAGTAACCGGAGAGGTTAGGATTAAAAGATTTTATTCAAGAAGTATGATTCAGTGAGAAAAGTTTAGAAAGACAAAACTAGAGGTGTTGAAGAAATCCAGAAGATTAGGATTTGAGAGAACACAGAGAATAAATGCACAGGCGCCATTGCGAACGATTTTGAGCCATGTCATTCAAGGTCTCTAACCATCGATTATTATCATCTCGCGGACCCCAACCAGGTAGTCGACAATTACCGACATGGCTACATCCACTCGTCAACGACTTCATGGATTTCTGCCATGTTTTGGTTTGGCCGCCCCTAAGTATGAACAATGAAGTATTACTTATCAACAAAAATATGAATATGATTATCGAAAAATTTGACAGTTAGCTTTAATCAAATTAATCAGTGTAGTAATTGTTTTTCTTCTAGTTGGCTTTGAGAATCATACGAATTCTAAATCTTAGAATACAATTTAAACTTATCAACATATGATTTGTAGCTTGTTCAAAAGTAGAAGTGAGGAGGACTCCGAAATCTTTATGGAAAAATTTGTCTTATAGAATAATCAGTCCGTCAGTTACAACGTAGAACTGCGTACGTATGTACATAAGTTCATGTTGCCATACCACATCAGCACACAGACGCAACTGTCAGTTCAAATCCAAGAGTGATAGCAATAATAGAAGTATTAGCAGTAATTGAGAACATAGGGAGCGAAGTCAGTTGCAACGTAGAACTTCGTACGTATGTACATAAGTTCATGTAGCCATACCACATTAACACAGAGAGGCAAATGTCAAATCGAATCCCATAGTGATAAAGATAGTAGAGGTATCAATGGTAATGAAGAAGAATAGGGTTCGAATATATTATTCAAGAAGTATAATTCAGTGAGATAAGGTTAGAAAGACAAGGGTAGAGGTGCTGACGAATCCAGAAGATTAGCATTTGAGAGAACACAACGAATGGATGCACTTGCGCCATTGCAAACGATTTTGAGCAATGTCGTTCAAGGTCTCTAACCATCAGTGACTTTCGTCTCGCGGACCCCAACCAGGTAGTCTACATCTACCAACATGACTCAGTCCACTTGTTAGTGACTTCATGCATTTCTGCCATGTTTTGGTCTGGCCGCCCTTAGCTTTCTTCCAACCTACTCCTACACCACAAAACATAGCTCGTCGAGGCAGTCAGTGGTTAGGCATTCGTAACACATGTCCCAACCACCTCAACTGATGAAATTTCAATACTTCATCTACTGATCTGCCATCCCTACCTAGTACTCGTTTCCTAACGCCAGCATTGCTTACTGGGTTGTCTCACGATATACGAGCAATGCTTCTTAAACATCTATGATCGATTACTAATAACCTACGAACATCTACTCTTAACAGCCATGTTTCACAGCCATATAGGAGAACGAAGCCAACTACTGCACAGTGCACCCGTCCTTTGGTCAGCGAACGGATATCTCGCCTATGCCTATGGCAAAAGCCAATCGAGCCTTCTGTATCCGCGCTGAGATTTCGTCAGTCACCAGTCTATCAGCACTGATGAGACTCCCAAGATAAGTGAAGTGATCAACACGCTCGACCACTTCACTCCCTATCACTAGCTCAGGTACCGGTGCAACCCAGTCTTGAAGCAAAATTTTGCATTTCCAGGGGGGAAAACCGCATCCCGAACATGCTTGCATTGTTGCCTATGGTAGTCAGAAGACTGTGCATTTTGTCAGCTTCTTCACCGAATAGAACTATGTCAATCAAGGCAATATATTATTTATAGAATAATATATTGCCTTGATTGGTTAAACATTTTCATATATAAATAGTCATGTATATTAGAGTAAAGCAGCCTGATGAGGATCTAATCGAAAACAACAATATTGTTCGCTTATATATTTGTTGTTCGAATATATACTTCTAAAAACGTGCAACTGAGGAAGAGGCACTTACTGTAGCAATTGTTTTCTTGTACAATCGATTTCCTTCTCCATTACTGCCATGAAATTTTATTGGATCAAACCAATGTTGACCTCGAGTAGCTTTTGCGAAATTCCAAGTGGTTACTTGACGTTTTCCATTATGAACAGCTAATACACTATCCCAAGCTTCAGCACGTGTAGAACATGCAGCCATGTGAACTACCTCAGGTAATAACCATGGTGATCGTTGTTCACGAGTAGCTTTCCGGCGATCTGGAACTCCAGGAGCATAAGCGCAACCAAGACTTTTATCCATATATTCATTGACTGTTGAGAATATGCTGTTTAATAATGAAGTATAATCAAAAAACCAATTATACAATTATCATCATTTAAGATAAACAAAACTAAAACTGTTACTGTTAGGATATTCATCCAATATCCTAAGAGAATTATTGGTCAAATCCTATTGGTCGATTTTTATTGGTCAAAATTATGGTCGTTTTAACTGTCAAAGTCAAATACTTCAATGTTGTCTCTTATCGGCCATTTCATCATGGCATTTCAAATGTTACTTCCTATTGGTCGTCTTAACTGTCAATGTCACAGAATTCGATGCTGTTTCCTATTCGACCAAAATGTATAAATACGCATTATCTGTAACGTTTTATGACCGGATCCCTAATTCGGGATCCTGATTCTCTTCTGGATTCGGACATCGTACTTTCTGGATGCTTGTAGAATACAGATTCTACTTCATATCAAGTCTTGTCTTATTTTTACTCAATATGGGGGTTGAAATAATCGGATTTGAGTAGCATGTCGTTTTGCGGGATCCTCAATCCTCGCTCTCGTTTTTCCGACTAGGTAAACTCGTAATAGTTCAAGTATATCAAGTTGATGTGTTTACGTGCAGGCGTAACAGTTACTTGACTTACTTCTAAAATAAAATGAAAAGTAACTCAATGAAAACAATAATGAACCGCGACACTTATGACAAATAAAAACCAGTCAGTCAATCAGAAACAACGAAGAACTTCGTACGTACGTAAATCAGTTAAAGTCATCATATCAAATCAACACACAGAGATGGAATTGTCGATTCAAATTCTATGATCGTACAGATAGTAGCAGCAATAGAAAAGATTAGGAATCGAGGCTTGATTCGAGAAGTATATTCCAGTTAAATAACGTAGATAAATAATGTCATGAAGAATTCAAAAGACAAAGGACAAAGAACGGATGCGCCTGCGCCATCACAAACTATTTTGAGCAATGGTATTCAATGTCTCTAACCATCGATCACTATCATCTTGCGGACCCCAACCAGATAGTCTACACTTACAAACATGACTCAATCCAGTTGTCTGTCAGTGATTTCATGGATTTGTACCATGTTTTGATTTGACCGCCCCTACTTTTCTACCAACCTACTCGTACATCACCAAACATCGCTCACCAAGTCAGTCGGTGGTTGAGCATACGCAACACATGTCCCAACCACATCAACTGATGAAGATTCACTAAGTCATCAATCCATTTGCCATTCTTACCTAGTAAGCATTTCCTAACCCCGGAATCGCTCACTCGCTTGTTCCAGGATACACGAGTAATGTTTCGGAGAGACTTATGATCAAACTCTAGTAAACTATGAATAACAAATGGAAATAATTGCCATTACTGGTATTGTTAATTGTGGAGAAAAATAAAACACTGAATACACCAATCAAAAACACATAAGAGAATACACATAAAATGTTGGTCAACTGAACAGTTAGTTACCTGTGAACAAGTAGACATTGTGAAGTCCTAATTTAAAAAAAGCAGTTTTTAATGACATCAGAATGAGGTATGTTTTTTACGGTTAGCAAAACACCGGTTGTTCTATCGAGTGAAATCTGGTTGATTTTATGGTACATAGGAGTAGTTTTTAAGTTTTTTAATACGCCATCCTAGTCATAACACTAAGGCAGAAGTAACTTCAAAAATTTCAGATAAATAAGGTAGGGTTAAGAATAAATAACCTTTTTCCAATGCAAATAAAATAACTATTGCTCATAATCTTAAATAGTGATGATTGAGGATAACTGTTAAAATAAGACATACCGTAGTACACCATCTTTCCCAGCACTCAATAACAATGCACCACCTGCCGAACTTCCAGGCCAAAATAATACACGGTTTGGAGGGCGCGAATGACCTATTCGACGGTAAACAGTACGTGGGCTACCATCAGGCCGATCGAAATAGGAAACCTAAAAATAAAATAAGAGAGAAAATTAGAAACAATGAAGGTTTAGTGTATTCCATATATCTCTGTGTACAAATGCATAGAAAAATGAAAGACTGACTAAACAGTGAAAACTCACAATGTACTAACTGAAATTTTTTTAAAAGATCATATCTAACTTATCGATTAGGGTAAATGACATAACGGCTTGTCGTAACAAACACTTTGTAACGAATTTTAATGCATATAAACGTTTACGTTTAAGATAATATTTTGAAGATGATAAAACATGACTTAGCAGCATACTACTCAGTCTCTAAAGGCTAATTAAAATTATTTTGTAGATCTGACTAAAAAGTATAAACGTACTCAATAATTTCCTAGCGATGATAAGTAAGTTTGGCTGCTTCTTCGTTAACTGCTTTCAAAGCACATTACCTTTATTATTTAAAACATTAAAAGTCGTTCACAAACAAATAGTTGCCTTTTTCCGGATATAATACGGTTAACAGTTGGAAATAATTCCTTTCATCAACGGATATTTCCACCACGTAGTTCGCACTTATTAACAAGGCTCAAACGAATAGTCACTGCTATTATGAACTGCTGCCAAGATGTCGTTTAGTCACTCCTAGTCTTCTTCCAACTTATCATCACATATATTAACACGAGTCAAAGTAGGCGGTAATTGGGCATACCTAATATATGCCTCAACCACTGCAGTCAGTCGACATTCACAACTTTGACAGGTACCATATACATAACGTCAGGATTATTCGCACGATCGTCTCATGATACAATATCAATGCTTCGAAGACACCTGTGACCAAACTCATACGCTCTACGAATGTCTTCCATTTCCATAACCTATGCTCAATACATATAGAGTAATACAGAGTGAACTCTGATGCATATCAGCTCTTTAATAGGCAATCTAACATTCTCGCATACGCTACAAATGACGCAAATCGGAACTTTTCTAGATTCGTGGCGAGATTTGGTCACAAACTAACCCACCAGTGCTGAGGGAACGTTCAACATAAGTGAAACATTCAACACACTAAACCAGTTCTGAAACCATAATTCGCATTCAGAAAGAGAGAATGGTATTCCAAACTTGCATCGTTACCCAAGTGTTGTAACGGTTGCTTAAAGATATGGTTCCTACAAAGCAGGCGGCTCGTAAGAGTACGGGTGGCAAGGCACCCAGGAAGCAGTTGGACTCTAGCACCAGATCCTACGAATCTTCTCAAAGGGGAGGTGTTAGTGGGACATAGATGGATTCAAAGCATGATTACGTCACTACGCGCTGATTGGCTAATTTCCTATCCAATCAGCGCCTGATCGAAGCTTGGAGAACAGGATAGAAAATTCTCGTATTATTAGCTGCATGCTGATTAGTCAAATCCAGTCCAGTCGATCACGTGAATTTTCTTCCAGAAGTTTTCTCATCTAAAGGCTATAAATAGACTCGCATTGTATTTATCTTAGCCTTCTAGCCTTCTTAGCCTTCTTCGCTTTCAAGCCTTTTTGCCTTGGCTTTCGCCATCACCTCCAGCTTCTTTTCCTTGCTATTTTTGGAATACAATCCTTCCTGTTCAACCGTGTTTTGATTTGTGTTACTTGTCCAGTGTTTTGTGTCAGGAATACTAAGCAATAAGATTTAGCCGGGAAATATCTTAAGCAAAACGTTACAACACCAGGGTATTCAGAAGACTCCCCATTATATCAGTTTTCACTAAATAGGATTGTCATTTGGGAAGGTTTATAGGAACTGGGAGTAGACATTAAGAGCACGAATAACACTTAGTACTTCAAAAGAGGTAAGAGGCTTAAGTAACGAAACTTGAGAATGAAGTCATCCAGATATGGAGCTTCAAAAAAATATTTGAATAGTTTTAAAATATGATTTGCAAATAACCTAAATCAATGCTGTTACCTTTATACAATTATCTGTTCCTGACGTTACCATGGCACTGGCACCATCACCTCCAGGAATGCAAAATATCGTTATTACGCTACCCCAATGTAAGTTGCGTGCTTCGCCAACTGATCGACTTTTCCCATTGTTTTGAAGTTGCCAACAATTGATATATCCTGTCTCACAACCAGTAATTAAATAAACATCGTTATTCTCATCAGGCAGCAAAGTGATACTACTATTTTCATCAATATTTGAAGGATTTTGCAAACCATGTGAACCTAATTAAAGAAGTTCAAACGGTTATTTGAGAATATGATTAAAAATGCTGAAATGAAATATCGGATGTTCGATAAAGAAAATTTAGTAATGACAATATTATCCCGCAATCGAATGATCGAGCGGTCTAAGGTGTTAGTTTAAAGGGCCAGCCTGAAAGGTGGGTTCTAATACCACCTCCATCATTAGCATTGCTCTCAAATGCCCTGGTACGGTAGAGTGAGGAGAGTCCTCTCTCCTTCTCCCAAAGTCCCAGTGCTGCTTCCCATGCCCTCGCTGGTGTAGGCATAGCACTAAGTTCTAAGGCAGAACTAGCATTCAGATTGGATCCCAGTAGATAGTCGCCTATGCGTTTTGCAACCAATCATTGTCAGAGCACCATTAGAAACCTGGAAGCACTAGATGGCCATTTCGTATTGGTATGGGAGTCCTACGAAGTGCTGGGGTTGTGGATGCACATTGCACATACCACGACGAGACGGCAGTTTAGTACTTATAAGTGTCTAATGGTGGTCTGACAATGATTGATTGATGATTTCAATGTGTTAAAATACTAATCTCCATAACTCATTGAAAAAAATAAATGATATTATTAAATCTGTAACACAAACCAAACATACCACTTCTAAAACCAATAGACGTAATCGCTCCACCATCTTGAGCAAAGTTCATTAATGTAACATCATATTTCAGGTTGTGAATGACGACCCGCCCATCGGCGAGACCTATAGCACAGACATCAAACGCTGGGGCTTGTTGTAGGCACGTGACAGGAGAATCAAAGCCTTTGAACCAGTACAGTAACTTTTTAGATATGACATTCCACAATTGCAATGGACCTTGATAACTTCCAAAAAGTACTTTGTTTTTGTAACTAATAGGATTCAGCAACGATGTCACACAAAAAGCCTTTGTCGAGAATTGTATGTCAGACACAACCTCTATAAAATACATGAGTTTTTAATCAATTCTTACCCCAAGATTTAGTGTTCCATACTTTAACAAAACCACCTTCATCGACAGAAACTAGAAACGAATTCTTTAAAGAGCATAAATGAGTAATTATGTTTGTATGGTCCTGAAGTTTGTGAAGTAGATAACGAGAATTACGAAAGACATAAATCGTTTTCCCAGAGGAAGCAACAAGAACGTTACCGCAAGAAGTGAAGGACTTAATCGGCAATTCAAGAGGATCGCCTGTCAAGTATTAAAATTAACAGATAATTGCTTACTCGATCCAACCAGAGTCAATCTTGGAAGCTATTGTTGCTAATTAAATTTTAGAGAGCATCATGCTTACTTTATATAAATTAAACCGTTCCCCCGTTGGAACTACAGCATAGTATGCACCTGAACTTTGTACATACTTCACGACAAAAGGTACATCTGATGAGTATAAGCCCAGTACTCTGTATGGTTGAAAGATATTTGACATCACGAGTAACGCTCAGACTCTAAAAGTTTGTTTTTAGACTGATTTTGTGTTGAGGAAGATTTTACAGTACAGTTAGTAACAATCTGAAAAATAAAACAATGAACCAAAAAGGTTAGTGATTCAGTATGCACATACAGCGCATTTAAATTTTTCAACAAAGAGTAACATCAAAAAGGACTCGATTTTATATTCCTTACAATATGCTTTTGTGGAGATGTCAAAATGATGTACATACGCAACTCCTAAATTTAGCTCGACAAACACTTCAACTAGCAGGTTATTTACAATAACCGCTTTTTCAATTCCCAATACCTAATGTCTTTTTCACTAGCTACTGTAAACCAATTTGATTTCTTCGCGCTCGATAATAGGCAGGATAGATTGATTGAGTGATCTGAGGAGATGGCAATGATAACAACTAGCAGGTCTCAAGATACGCAGCTTGTCCAAGAAGGAGATGATAGTGCGTATGTGAGCACGTGATTATCAAGTCTCTAATTAAAGCAGTCCACTGAGGGGGCTGTGGTTACCTCGGCTGGGAGAGCATTCCAAGCTGCGACGACTCGCAATGAGAAAAAGTGTGCACGAATCTGAGTATTCGCTCTCTGACATCCAATTTTTCGAGGATTTCCTCGAGGGGAGTGGTGGTGATGCATCGGTAAGATGCTCATATTGGAATGATTTGGCGTGTTTAATATGGTGTACACCTCTGATTCTGCTATAGCTCAGTGTAAATAATCTCAGGAGCTGGAGTCTGTCGTCGAAAGGTTTATTTTTCAACCCTATCACCCATTTGTTTGCTCGTCTCTGCACTCGATCCAAAAGATTTACGTCTCTTTTAAGCAGAGGGGCTGCGATGACGTTGTGAACCTCCAAGTGTGGGCGCGCGTACGTCTTAAACAGGGTCAAAAATAATTTCGGGGTGATAGCACAAAGCTGTCTTCGCACAAAGTGAAGAGATGCATTTGCCTTGGCTGCATCCCCTACATAGTTTGGATTGGTGTGGAGGTTTTCTGAGGTTATTAAACCAAGATCGCGCTCTGAGTAGACATTAGGGAGCGGACCTCCATTGAGAGTGTAGGTGGTTTGCGTCATATGAGGCAGGAAATGCATGACGTGGCACTTCGGTTGGTTGAGTTATAAGTCGTTTTTCACTGCCCAGTTCTCAATAGATATAAGGTCCTTCTGAGGCTCAGTCGAATCCTCTTCGCTTCTAATGGACCTCCAGATCTTCGCATCGTCTGCGTAGATCAATGCTGGTGAGCCAACTGAGCCTAGCAGGTCGTTAATAAATACCAGGAAGAGAAGTAGGCCTAGGATGGTCCCCTTTAAAACTCCTGAAGTGGATACTCTCCAACTCGCGTGCACTCTGTTTACCTTGGTGCGAAAGTTTCTATTCTCAAGGCAGTTTCTGAGCCAAGATACGAGTGGGTCAGTGAAGCGCATTTCCACAACCTTTTCGATTAGGCGTGAGTGGATCACTGTGTCAAAGGCCTTTGCAAAGTCGAGGAATATTACGTGTACCGGTATTTTACGGTCTAAACAGGATGTCCAACTGTCCCATGCGATGAGGAGATTAGATGCACACGACCTGCCTTTCCGAAACCCGTGTTGAGCATCATGGAGTATTTTATTCTTTTCCATGTACTCCCTCATTTGTTCGTCCACTATCCATTCCATAACTTTTGATAATATTGGTAGTAGTGTGGTTGGTATGTAACAGGCTGGGTCTTTTCTATCTCCTCCTTTGAAGATCGGAGAGAGATTAGCTTGTTTCCATTCATCTGGGAGTTGGTGTGACTCCAGTGAATGCCCGAACAGGTTGCATAACGGTGAACAGAGGACTTCAGCACACTGTTGCAAGACTATAGGGCGGGTTTTGTCACAACCTGGTGACGTACCTGGGCGTAAGGTTTTTAGTTTCCTTAATACTAGATAAGGAGTGATACGGATGTTCCCCAAGCCGTCAGCTGTCATCGGGTGGGCGTAATACTCTGAACATGTAGGCGCCTGGTTTAATTGATCAGCAAAGGTGGTGTTGAAGATCTCGGCCATCTCTATGTTGGTGACGTCTTCCCCGTTTGGTCCTCTTAGAGAACACAACCCTTGATTAGTAGGTTTTCTTTTGGACATGAACCTAAACAGATGTTTCGGGTTTACCTCTATGCTGGTGGCTAGTTTCGTCTGCAATTGTCTCCTGTCGCTTCGTACTTTGGTAATGCGTCTGTTTCTCAGTGCCAAGTAATAACTGCGATCGGAATTCTTCAAGGAGACCTTCCACTTGTGCCAGGCTTTCCTCTTCGCCTGCAGCAAGCGTTCAGTGCCGCGCCGAACCCAGGTTCTTCTGTTCTGGAGTTTTTGGTGTGACTGAGGTACGTTGTCTACGACAGCGTTTTGGATGATATCTCTCACTGTTTTCCAGTGATCATCTACTGTCAGTCTCCACCACTCCCGTGGCCATGGGAGCAAGTCTCAGCAGACCAATTGAATTCTTTGCACTGCATTCTTGTTCTTTCGTTACGTTTCCAAGTATTAGTTACTGTCAAGTGGATGTCATTCTAGCTACTAGACTGAATTAATCATGACTTGGTTTTGACTGAGGAATAATATAAGGTGATTTCCACCCACCACTATGTTCCGAAAATATAAGAAAACCAATGCATATCTAGGTGCAGGCTGTGCATTTATCTCGATTTGATATTCTTGATTTGATATTCTGTTTCAATATCCCACAGACATCTACAGTGGCTACTTACTTACTTACCCCCAATGGAGCATAGGCCGCCTACAAGTTTTCTCCAACCAACTCGGTACTGGGCTTATCTCCCCCAGGATAGGGAAAAGTTTAAAAACAGCGGTTAAAAGATATTTCTTAATGTAAACTTTTTATCTGCATAGAATACTTTACTAACGCCAAGTCTGAATCAGTGTTCAAACACGTGACTTTTTAACTCACCTCCGAAAGTAGTGTGATGTAAACCGTATTTTATGGTGCCAGAGGTTAAGTAGCTGTCATCCATCAGTCCTCTAGCATTATCATCCAAAGTAGTCACGCTAAACCTACAGGCAGGAACATACCCCGACCACCACATATGTCATCCCCAAACACATCAGAAACGAAGGGCCTGTTTAAGGATAAAAGACCAATAAGTAAGTACCTGTAGAAAACCTGATCCACTCATAACAGAATTCCATAGGAAAAGAACGAGATTATTCATATTTCTGGGCTAAAGTATCTTTTGCGCCTCATAACCATGTTATCAATCTATCTTTCGTTTTGATAGCTGCTAGTGATTAGGCATTTTACTTTCTCTTGGTTTTAATTTGTCTGTCCCTAAGATGGAAACTTCTGAACTGATGACCAGTATCCAAATGAAAAATTTCTAATCAACTAAGTAAGCTTGTCCCTATGTGCTTAGCTGACCAAGGTTGGTTTGAAGCTAAAGTCGTAAAAAAAGCTTACCAATTTCATAGTTCAGAATCAAATCATAGAGGCATATTATTCTTTCAGCATTTCAAATCACTGAAGGAACTGATATAATCTTGTTGAAGGCTGGTGAAGGTTCAAGAATGGTTATTATGAACAAGTATGATGATAAATAAAAAAGGCTACGTATCACCTATGATGAGAGTAAATTGATGCCTGATATCGAATTCAAAGGTAATAACAAACTGGAGGAAAGAATAAACTTAAACCTGGCGAAAAGGCTACAAGAAAGCGAAACAAATGAGCTCTGAATATCCTCATTTATGTGAACTGCCCAAAATTTAGGGGTCAAATATTTCTATATGTCAATTACATCCATACATCTACAGCGATTCATACGATATACTTCTTCAGGAGATAACAAATGTTATTCCCGGAACACTGGGAATCAAATAAGAAGGAGATTCTAAAGGAAGAACTATATTTGATACTGGCCACGTGATATCGAAATAATATCGAGGCAAGAGGGCGTACAAACGGCTAACATCCATGCAGGAGACGTTGTCCTTGGTCAGTTGTGGCAGTCGACGGACAACCGTAATGCGCTATCCATCGTTCTACCAAGCGGTGAGCAACTGTTTCCGCCGTAATAGAAGTGATGTGGATAGCTTCCGGCCATCTTGTGAAACGATCGATGCACGTGTGTATGTGATCATACCCATGCGATGGTGGAAATGGTCTTACAATGCCAATATGAGCGTGATCGAAGCGAGCATCAGGCGTAATGAATGCGCCAGTGAAGGCGGCTACGTGCCTGCGCACTTTCGATCGCAGTAGTGAACGAGAACACAGGTGGGGCAACCGGATTGAATTTAACGAAAATTAAAGAGTTACTCAGTAAAATAGGAAAACCATATCGTAAATTGTTAATTTGCAAAATATCAGTTCATCATATCGAACTGGACTGTTCCTGTTGCCAAACATCAATCTATTGTCACTATTCATGCGTTTCATACAAATTCCATTGTGTTCCCACTCTTCCTTTCTTGATCTCCCCCCCCCATCTTCTGCTGCCAGACATTACGCTTACAAACGCGTCATATACTACTTATAAGTGGTGCGCACCACACTCGTCCCCACTTTTAATAAGCTGTCGTCGTAGTCTTTCAAAACAGGGAGCCTGGTCAGTTAATATCACCTTCCGTATTCCGTGACACGCTACAATATGCCGGATTACCACTTCGGTCATTGTTCTTGCCCGCTGATCTGGAATGGATACGGCATCTATCCAACGTGTAGCGTTTACTAGTTCCCGCTGCTGGGACACGGCAGCAGGCACACTCTCGATAAATTGCGACGCCAACAACTGTGCCTCTGACTCCTCATCGATACTCGGCAGCGCACGGCGCGGCAACATCGTGAGCTCCACAGCCAGCACCAACGGGTCACCATCAGCCGACAGCCTCGACAACCAGGACCTCTGAGGCGCCTCCTCACTGTCCACCGGGCTGTCGAACTCCGTCATCATCCGCCCGGTGACCGTCTCCAACGCCGTCTTGCCGGCGGCAACGTC